GTTGATACACTCGATTGAAGTCACCTATTCGCGGTTACCTGGCTGTGTGAGAAAAGGTCTTCCTGGACAGTTTGATTGAGTAACAATTTTGGCTGTTGCAACTGCCCATCATAAAGCCGGTTTATCAAAGTTGAAGACGTCTCTTCAAGGATTCCGTATTCTGATATAGCCTCTTGAACGCGGTTGAACCAGGCCTGTATAACCCGTGGATTCTCGCACTTCGCCCGTTTGGCATCTAGCTGGCGGAAATAACGACCTTTTAAGGCTTTATGGCGTGCAATAAAGTTTGTAACCCATCTCTCTCCCACGGTTATCGGTCTCTTCTGATTTCTATGCTTTTGAAGCAATATATTGGCCATCTCACGAACTGCGGAGTTTCTTAGAGGTGCGCCGCGGGCGTCAAGCGAGAGAATCTACTTCTTAAGTATTTCTTCCTCTCTCGCAGTAAGTTTATGAGAATTAGGGCGAGTTTCTTGACGAAATGAACGGCCATTTGCACGGTGTTGAAGAGTTGAGCGAGGAACATCAAAAACGTCAGCAGCTTTACGAATTGAGGCAACTTGACCGGTCTTTATAGCTTCAAGGGCAAGGCAGATTCGGCTCTCTTGGTACAATAAGTCTTTTGATGATTTCGGCATTTTTGGTGGTGTAATTGACCGCTGAATTACTTCAGTTCTTGGAGGTGGGAGGATTCAGGGGGTGGTGGCTCGCTCGCTTGCGTGGCTCGCTCGGTTGACGATTACGTTAAGACAACTAATTTAACTAAGTAACGTTATACTATGTGTATTCAACTCACACGGCTGTAGACATATCAAATAATCTGCTTTGCATTGCAACTTATGAATTTTGCGAAGGAAGGAATAGACCTTGTCCTGTCTCATGCTATACTTGTTCATCTGTTCTTAGCATTTCCTCCCCGCCTGGAAACTGTAGACTTTTATACATAGATCCTCAGTACCAGCAAGGGCTACTGGCCCAGTTCTACACCCGGGATTTGCTGCATGATAAGAACAGGATAAGGTAGGGTTATGGCAAAAACAATACTTGAGGGGGAATTCTTAGATAATCTGCCAGATGCTTTAGTATATTGGAAGCTGGATGGGTTTTGATGGTGCAATTGGGATGCGTGGATGCTGTGGGTTGCGCTGCCATCTCCACCGACGCTCTCTCCGTCGAGAAACGGACATTTTCCTGTTGGTAGCTTTCGACCGCATCACCCTCAAATTCATCCATTTGCAGGGGTTTTCCCTATAAATTCCGAGTCTGTTCGCAAAGAATGTCATCGCTCCTTCACATCTTACGAATATTTCATAATTGTCTCCCTGGCTGATCGGGTTCCGTCTCACGCCTGTGATGCCACACGACGAGGTCTCGATGACAAACCTATCTAAAACTGCTTCAGGAATGGTCGCCGAGGGCCATGAGGGTCGTCCAATACCAACCAGGGATACCAGTACGCGTGCCTGGCTGGTCGTAGTGGGTGGCTTGCTGATTTACTTTCCTACCTTTGGTATCTATTCTTTCTTTCTTTTTTTTTCTTTTTTTCATTTGGTTGGAGGGGGGAGGGTGGAATCCTAGTTGTCACAGATCAATTCTCACACTACTGACTCTCATTCTCAAAGGGTTCCTCAATGCCTTCGGTACCTTCCAAGCCTACTACGAACGACATCTCCTCGCCGGGACTTCAAGCTCCGATATTGCCTGGATCGGCTCCTTACAGGTCAGTTGACTAGTCACTTGTGGCTGGTTAGGATTGCCTCTCACTGATTGCTCAGATCTTTTTGCTCTTTATCGGTGGTCTGGTGGTCGGCCCCTTGTACGACAAGGTGGGAGCCACCAAGCTGCTGGTGCCGGGTACAGTCGTCTACGTTGTCTCCCTGATGTTGACCAGCGTCTGCAAGAAGTACTACCAGCTTATTCTAGCCCAAGGCATCCTGTTCGGCTGTGCCAATGCGCTCTTGTAAGTCTGGTGAATCAGCCTCCAAATGCCGCCTATTAAGACACCAGCCTAGATTCTACCCGACCATCGCAGCCATCAATCAATGGTTCGATCGGCGACGAGGACTGGCACTCGGTCTTGCTGTGTCCGGGTCCTCACTGGGTGGAATTTTCTGGACAGAGGTCATTCAGCACATGCTCGACCATATCGGCTTTGGATGGACAGTCCGTGCCTCCGGGTTCATCAGTCTGGCGTTTCTTATCCCCAGCTGCGTGTTGATCGTCACCCGGCCTCCAGAGCCCGACGAGCACCAGCAGATGCAGCTAGACTTCAAAGCCATCTTGTCGGATGCTACATATCTGCTCTTCAGCGTCGGGATGTTGCTCGTGCTATGGGGGATGTTCATCCCCTTCTTCTATTTGCCTTCGTACGGCGAATCGTACGGAATGAGTGCCACGGACGCGAATAACCTCCTAGCATACATGAATGCTGGTTCCTTCGCCGGACGAGTTCTGACCGGGATTCTTGCCGATCGCATAGGACGGTTCGTTTCTCTATTACTCGCTGCCTTGAACCCGACATTCAAATAACGAACACCATGTTTATCTCACTAGGTTCAACGTGATCTCAATAGCTGCGTTGTGTTGCGGCATCTTGCTCTTCTGTCTTCACAAGATCACTACTCCCGCCTCGATCATCGCCTTTTCGGTCCTCTACGGCGTCTGCTCGGGCGGGCTGATCTCACTGCAATCTGCATGCATCGGCCAGATTACGCCGGACCACAGAATCATTGGCGTGAAGATCGGGCTCATGATGGGATTCTGCTCCGTGGGGTATGCTTCCCCCCCCCCCCCATTATTCTGGTATCGAGCAGTAGCTAACCTGCCTTGTCCCGCGGACAGAGGTTTGACCGGTAGTCCAATTGCGGGTGCTCTCCTTAGCGCTGATCATGATAAGTGGTATGGCTTCATCGACTTCTGTGGCTCGATCCTCATGGGAGGTGCGGCGGTCACTAGCGTCTCGCGAATTATGGCCGCTCCTAAAGAGTGGAAGTTTTAGGGCCCGCTTCTGGGCCCGCTTAGTACTGTATTGTACCTTCCAAGCTCCTCCGGAGTGGGACGTTCCGAGGTTGTTGGTTGCTTTGGCTTGCCGCATTGCATTACATATGAGAGAAAGGGTTATGGATGCTTTGAAAGTTGGGCAGTTCTCCATGGGAAGTTACATTGTAGGCTAGGATCAGGTAGAACCGTGCATGTGTCTTTTCTCTTTTTTTTATGTTTGAGTAGAAGCGACAGGGAGAAAAGGGGGATTCAAGGTAGAGTTTTAGATGGGAAAATGGTCTGTGTATTCAGGCTAGAGGAAACAGACAGACACCCGATTGTTCCATACCTCCCCCTCTCGTTTCTATTCCTGACGCAGAATTAGAATAATCCGAATACGTACAGATCCATCCCACAGGGCTGTGAGCCTCACATCCATACATTCATCTCCTGGTTCGCCTGGCAACTCCTCCGGGCTACAACACTGACAGGCGCCTCGCGGACCTGTCAGGTGATTCTCAACTGGTGCCTGAGGCACTGTTGGAAACGAATCACATAGATCTTGCATCGGCCCTTCATGTTACCGTCTGTAGAATTATACGGTCTTCTCGGGCCAAGAACAGCATAGCGATTAAGTCCTCTACACCTGCTCAGCTGCAAGCGAAGCCAGATCTAACAGTGCTGTACCTGTGTACAAGTGCTTACCCTTTCTAACCCGCTAGCTGTGCCGCCAAAATATGGGGCTCAGCCGAAATCCGACGGGCGGTTCTTGCAGAACCTTGATCAATGATCATACGGGGTATCCCTGCGTTCTCTTTCGATCCTCCGCCAACTCTCATCGGGATAACAACAGTGGCTGGATTTGAGGCGCAGGGGCGGGAATGGGGAGCGGCCAGGGAGGTCCGCATCAAGCCGCGAAAACGCTTTTGCCCTATCGGGTACACCTCATTAACAGAGTCGGACTAGAGGCAGGAGATGGGAAAGCCAGGTGTGCCTGAGGCCTTGAGAAATGGCTCCTTATTTAACCGATCTAACAGTAAGCACTAAGTAACACTAACGCTTACACTAGAGGTGATCCTCGTAAGGATCGAGGCGCAGCAGCACAACGAACCGTAAAACCTCGCAACATAAGCAACATCAGCAACACAAGACATGCCTATCTGTAGGCACGTTCCGTAATTCCCCACTGGAGCCTCCTATTCAGTCGCTCTGATCCCGGTTTTGCGATTCGGTCAGTACAGTAGTAGTGACGTAGCCTTGGACTAATTGATGTGACCTGCGACGGTTTAATGAAAACGGACCAGTCAAATGGCGGCGAGTTACTGTCTAAATGTGTGCAGCTATGATTTCTGCCCTAAAGACTCTGATGTGAATGCTGGTCTACTGTCAGACCAAAGAGGGTCATGTGACCTGTGCACCAAAATGGGGATATAGCTTCTTCGCACCTTCTCCCTCTATCAGCTGTTGATATTCTTTTGTTCCCTTGTATCTATCAATACGTCCTCAGTCACCCGTAAGAGGGACTGGCCCTCGTTGTGATTTTGTACCTCACATCGTTTACCACAATGCATTCAACAACTTTCGCCGCGCTTATAGGATTTTTCCTCCTAATTAGCGTGTTCTTGATCACACGCCGGCCGAAAGCATCTTCCTCTTCCTTACCCTTACCACCAGGACCCAAGCCACTGCCTTTGATAGGCAATGTCCATCAAGCTCCCAGGTCCCATGGATGGAGGACATATCGCGAATGGAATGAGCAATACGGACCGATCGTTCACCTCAATATGCTTGGACAACCGGTCATCATTTTGTCGACCTCGGAAGTAGCCCACGACCTGCTCGCCAAGCGTGGAGCGATCTTTTCCGATCGACCTCGACTGTTTCTCGCGACGGAGTTAGCATTGAAGGGGCTCAACATCCTCATGATGAACTACACCGATCAATTCCGGCATCATCAGCGGCTCCAGGTGTCCGTGCTGAACGCGACTCCGGCCGCAGCATATCTCCCCATCCAAACCCTAGAGTCCCAACAGTTGCTGTACGATCTCTTGCAAACAAGCGGAAGCGTGGGGATTGATGCCCAAGGGCCGTTCCAGCGGACCACGGCCAGCATCATCCACACCTTACTGTATGGCTTCCGGATTCAAGACCCCAACGACCCCGTCCTCCGCAGCGTGGTCCACCTCAACGAGGAATTCTCCGAATTCATCCAGGTGGGTGCGCATATCGTCGACCAGTTCCCGGTGCTGAACCACCTGCCGGGCTTTCTGGCGCCCTGGAAGGCGAAAGCGGAGAACCACTATACCACCAAGTATAGCCTGCGTCTCAGCAACTTCCGCCGGGCGCTGGAGGATTCAGACGCCTGGAACATCTCCAAGCAGCTGAAAAAGACGGTTGAAACGGATGATCATCGCGACATGCCTCTGGACGAGCTCGCTTTCGAGCTGGGGACGATGATCGACGCCGCGCTCGACGGCACGACCGACAGCCTGGTCTGGTTTGTGGTCGCGTGCATTACTCAGAAGCAGAGCTTCATCACCAAGGCCCGCGCCGAGCTCGACGCCGTGGTCGGCCGGGACCGGCTGCCGCTGCCCGACGATAAGCCCAACCTGCCGTACATCACCGCGACCGTCGAGGAACTCCTCCGGTGGCGGCCCGCCGGCCCGGAGGGCGCGCCGCACCTCAACCGCGAGGAGACGACCTACAACGGCTACCGCATCCCCAAGGGCTCGGTGGTGGTGGCCAACATCTGGACGATCGCGCGCGAAGAGGCCGTCTTCGGCCCCAACATGGACGCTTTCATCCCGGAACGCTGGCTGGATGACAACGGGGACTTACGGTCTTCGCTTCCGGCGCCAGCGTTCGGGTATGGACGACGGGCCTGCCCCGGACGGTACTTCGCGCGTAATGTCCTCTGGATTGTTGTGGCGCGGTTGCTCTGGTCGTTTGATATCAAAGCCGGTGTGTCTGAGGAGACGGGCGAGCCGGTCCCCGTGGATCCGGAAGCGTGCACTTACGGTCTGGTCATGCGCGCCCTGCCCTTCAAGGCGCGATTTGTCCCGCGCGGATCGTGGGTGCGTGAGGTCATCGCGCGAGGGGGGGACACGTATGGCCAGGATCACTCGGCGCTGCTTCGGCAGATTGGGGCTGAGTTTCCGAAGTTGTGACTCTTTAACACTGTGTACTAAAGGGTAGTGTAAGCACATAGATTATTTACAATCATTGACAAAATCGCGATACGTCGTAGTCAATACTAGGTACTTGCCGAGTTGGAATAGCCCACCCCGCATCGAGTTCGGTTGTACACGATCTATCTCCGCGTGGCATGGCACTGTTACCAAATGGCAGAGGTGTCCCGGTCAGAAATTGGTCGGTAAGCTTTGCGCGAGCTGACTTGAAACCCAGATTACTTTCCACGTCCAAGAGGAGGTAGACAGACGGCGAATGTGTAGATGGAATAGCATGGGTGTGGGGTGCACATGAGAGGGATGAGGTGAGGAACACGAGAGCGTGAAGTGAAGCGATGATAAGTGCGCTTTTCTTGGAGTTTCACAGATCACGCTTGATATATCAATCTACCATAAAGGCGCTAGAGATTTAGATACTAGATATGGAAACGCAGACTTTTTTCAGCACGCAAACCGGAAAGGCCAGAAATCGGGTCGGGGATGGGAGCAATTGGAGGTTGATACGTTTGTTACGTAGTAGTCAGCCATGAGGGAATTGACTCTGGAGGTCATGTCTACCTGACATAGTTCACGCACTATTTTCCGCTGACATTTTTAATTTCACCCATTTGCCTAAAAGTCTCGAGTTGACGATCATCTCTCTCCCCTCCCGTTTTGTTCTCGGAGTCCTCGGAGCCCTCGGATCATTTCCCTCACGACAAAAATACATACCCCGGTATGGCAGGGATCTCTAACATTCAGAGCTGGCATTCTGACTTCCTTCGCTATATCACTGTCCACCTTGTTTGCCATAGCTATACCTCAGTGCCACGTCAGCAGATGGCAATTGATCGGTGCAGTCTTTGGTCCAAGTTTCAAAGATCGGAGGGTCCGAAATAATACTCTCCAGTCGCTGCCAGCGTGAGGAAGAAATGTGGATGCTCGATTTCGGGCTCGCCTGACACATTCAGTCGGACGTGACGAATCTTAGACTCAAGGGGAGAGGCACATTAACAGACTTTCATCCCCGAAGCTGTTGTGGCCGGACTGAGTCAGAAGTTGGTTATCGTGCTTCCAGTCATGGTATCATCTATCAAAGACCCCGATGCGGTGAAGAGCTACAATGGTCAGTTGTAACCCGAGCGAGAGGTGCCCCCGGGGAAGCTTGACGGAGCTGCTGCCACTTCATTCATTGGATACTGATATTGCTTTCGATGGAATGATTTCAGGTGCCAGTCTGCGAATTGCCATTGTTCACGCACGGTGGAACAATCGCCTCATCGAATCCCTCATCACCGGGGCCAAGAGTCAATTACTAGAAGCTGGAGTGAAGGAAGAGGACATCGTTCTGGAGAGTGTGCCAGGGAGCTATGAACTTCCTTTTGCCGTGCAAAGGTAGCGTCCTACTTAACTTCTACTGTTCTGCTTTTACAGCTTCCTATTCCTGATCTCTCCATCTTCACAGAATCATCCACACATCACAAACCTCTAGAGACAATATAGCCTTCGACGCGGTCATTGCCATCGGGGCCTTGATCAAAGGGGAGACCATGCATTTCGAGTACATCTCCGAGGCGGTCTCCCAGGGACTCATGCGGGTTCAGCTGGACACACACGTCCCTGTGATATTCGGGCTTCTGACTCTCTTGACGGAGCAACAGGGGCTTGAGAGAGCAGGGTTGGCGGGAGAGCACTGGGGACGGGCGGCGGTGGAGTTGGGGGTGAAAAATCGCGAGGACTGGGTGGCGGGGGGTTGCAGGTCGGCACTCGGTTAGTATAAATGTTGTCACTCAAATACACATGAGTACTTGCGGTATTGCGTAAGAATCTTTTATCGTAGTTAACAGTGACTACGGTGTATTTTCATGTAAATGTTTTCTGAACGGGCCTTATTTTCTTTCCATTTTCCAATTTGGATTTCTTTGCTCATGCTTCTATTGTTTCCTCGTTACCCACTGTTTGCTTCTTTCTCCATTCCTGTTCTTCTGTCCTGGAAGGCACAGTACATCTGTCGATATCCAAACAACTCCTAAACAAGTTTAAGTCATGACGATCACGAAAGATCGATATGCAGATCAAAGTGGAAACCCCGGGGTGCCCCGATATTATCTACATACTTTGTGCATATCCCGAGCCTCCGAGGCTACCGAGACCCCCGAAACTCACACGTCGGCGAAGCTGCGCCATCCAGGATAAGCAAGTCGTGATATCACCATGGACGAAAATTGCACTCGCCTATTGCTCAATAGTACGCAAAGGGTCAGGAGGAAATAGGAGGGAGAATAACATGGAACAAGCCCGTTTGCCCCAACAAAAATAGGAGGCAACCGACGCTCCAACCATCCTAATGAAAATCATTTGTCACTTGTAGGTTTGAGAATGATATAAGAACAATCTCTCCATCTTCATTAACTCTCTCTCTCATGGCTATCAAGCTTGATTATCATTAACCTTGTCTCCCCCGATTGCACATTGCTTACCAGAAGATCAACTGCAAATATGCCTCACCACCACCACCCCCACCTCCACAACCACCAGCAGGACCCTTCCGTCCAAGACCTCCCTCATATGAATTTCCGTCCCTATGTGGAAGCCTTGAAGCAGGACAATGACCTGGTGGAGATCGACCGCGAGATTGATCCAGACCTTGAGGCCGGGGCCATCATTCGCAAGGTGTGCGAGACGGACGACAAGGCCCCGCTGTTCAACAACCTCAAGGGCGCCGACAAGGGTCTCTTCCGGATCCTGGGCGCGCCCAACTCCCTGCGCGCCGACCCCAAGACCCGCTATGGTCGGCTAGCGCGCCACCTGGCTCTGCCGCCCACTGCGGGGATGAAAGACATCTTGGACAAGATGATGTCCGCAGCCAACCAGAAGCCGATCCCGCCCCGGGTGGTCCCCACGGGCGCTTGCAAGGAGAATGTTCTGAATGACGGGGAGTTCGACCTGACGAAACTTCCTGTGCCCCTGCTGCACCAGGCCGACGGGGGCAAGTACATCCAGACCTACGGCATGCATGTCATCTCCTCGCCTGAGGGCGACTGGACCAATTGGTCGATTGCCCGCGCGATGGTCTACGATAAGAACCACCTCACAGGGTTGGTGATCCCACCTCAACATATCTGGCAGATGCAGCAGAAGTGGAAGGCCATTGGAAAGGATGTCCCCTGGTCGCTGTGCTTTGGGGTTCCGCCGGCGGCCATCATGGCGGCCAGTATGCCCATCCCGGACGGGGTGACTGAGGCCGGCTATATCGGCGCGTTTACCGGCCATGCCATTGATGTGGTCAAGTGTGAGTCGAATGATCTCCTGGTGCCCGCCAACACCGAGATTGTCCTGGAGGGGACCATGAGCATCACCGAGACGGTGCCCGAAGGGCCCTTCGGTGAGATGCACGGGTATGTTTGGGTTCCTTTCTTGCCTTTCGCATCTAGACTAACCAATGACCCTCAGCTACGTCTTCCCTGGCGATTCGCACCCTTGCCCCCTGTACAAGGTCAACAAGATCACTTACCGCACCGGTGCTATCCTCCCCGTGTCCAACTGCGGTCGTCTAACCGACGAAACGGTATTCCCCCCCCTCTCTGCTGCCGACCTTACTCTCAACCCCAATATTCTCACAACACACACAACTAACCCCAAAACAGCACACAATGATCGGCCCCCTCGCAGCGGCCCAAATCCACCAACTCTGCAAGGACGCCGGCGTCCCCGTCAAGGAGGCGATGTCCCCCTTCGAATCCCAAGTAACCTGGGTGGTCCTGCAGATCGACACCGCGGCCCTCCGCCGTCTGAAAACCACCTCGGCCGCATTCAGCAAGCAAATCGGCGACCTGGTCTTTAATCATAAGGCCGGCTACACGATCCACCGCCTTGTCCTCGTGGGCGACGACATCGACGTCTACAACTGGAAGGACGTGATCTGGGCCTTCTGCACCCGGTGCCGCCCCCAGCTAGACGAGTACTTCTATGAAGATGTGCGTGGTTTTCTCCTGATTCCGTACATGTCGCACGGGAACGGGGCCCCGACCCAGGGCGGGAAGGTGGTCTCAGATGCGCTGATGCCCTCGGAGTATACCTCAGGGCCGGACTGGCAGGCGGCTGACTTCCACCACTCGTATCCGCGGGAGATTCGGGAGATGGTGGAGGCTAGCTGGACGGCGATGGGGTTCCGGGGCGAGGATTGAGTGAGGAGGCCGGGGGGTTGCGGGTGCTTATATGAAGTATGGTAGGGCCCGCGCAGGTTCTTGGTGTGGTCTCCTCTCACTTTCGTTCTGTTGGCCTTTCTACTGTGTACATGACGGGCTCGATCAAATTCTCATTGCTTGGATGCATAGCTTAACTACTCCTTTTCTGATATGTTGGAGTTGTGTGGGTATATCTTCCTTACGATCTTACCGTGTACGCCTTGAAGTTCTGATGACCTGGACTAGGGCTACCCGCGAAGACCTCTACATCCGTACAAAATATATATTTGCACCAAGTACTGCAACCGCCATTGTCACCCCAAACGAGCCGAGAAATAGCAAGGTTGTATTCAATCCAGCCTCCTCAGCAAACACACGCGCTAGATAGTATACAACAGCTCCTAAGCCACCGGAATTCTGACAGACACTGTCGCCTAAAGGGAATTTCTTACAAAGGGGGTCCTCACGTGCACTATAAGCACGCTACTACACACTCATCAGGAACAGGAAACACAATTCTGAGCCCATTTTCAACAATTGGGGCTGTGGTTTAGTGGTATAATATTCCCTTAGCATGGGAGAGGTCCGGGGTTCGATTCCCCGCAGCTCCATGTTTTTTACCCTCTGGTATTCTTGATCCGGAGTGGTAGGTTCGACGCGTGGAGGGGGCGGAAATTTTTATCTGGTCGGGCTGGTATCAGCGTTAAGAATTGTTCCATTTCTATCTCCTCTTTGGGTCTCGTACTGTTCAAAGCCAGGCATACTCAGCGAGGTCTGTTACAATTGTCAGTGGAGACTTGAATTATAATTTATGATCTGCCGGTTTTGTCGTTCTCCGAGTTCATTTACAAATGAACCTCAGATCATATCTGGATAGGATGCGGTACAAGAGAGACAAAAGGCGGTAGATTGATGACAGTGGCGAAAACAACAATCGTATTGCACACAGATTAGATTAGTAGCCGCAAAGCTGTTGCAAAAGGTTTACATGGTACGGAGATAGAAGCCCTGGCGATTGCAGCGGTCTCCTCTGTACCGTCACTGCAAGGGGGTACGGTCCCGTGGCGGGAGCTCTCTGTCAGTGCTCCTCGCAGTTCCCTTCATGTCTTGTCGAGTGTTGGGCTTTCTCACGGGGCAGTTCTATGACCTTACTACGAAGGTTCATCTCATAGTTACGACAGGCATAGGAGAAGAATGCAAAGGAAGAGGTTGGGAAACGAAGATATAAAGGCCGGGTAAGTAAGTCATGGGTTACAGAACCAAGCAGACCGTAGAAATCGTCCACCAGAATCATTTACCACAGATCGCAAGCCTTGATACAAGAGCAATTCAGCCTACCCCAAACCCTCAAAAGCCAGTCGTAACCATAAGATAGACAGACTCCTCCCCCTAAACATCCGCAATCAACCCCTTCTTCTCCCGCCTCCCCATGAAACTAAAATACCAGGTCGGTTCGCCATGCTTGATCCGGCAACCTACATCGTACCGATCCCGGGGCAGCATATACGCCCAGTAATCCCGGTCCCGATCGCCACCCTTTTCCAGATTCTTCGTGTGATCCATGCAGTCCAGACACAGGCCATCGAAGTATCCCTCGACGCGCTTCGCGGCGCCGGCCACCACCGCTTTCCAGTCGTGTCCGCAACGGGAACAATCCACCGGCTTCTGGGTCCTGGGGTCCGTGTATGCGCGCATCTCCCTCGCATTGAACAGCCTCATGCGGAAGACCAGATCGTCGATGCTGCTGTGCCGCATGCAGTCCTCGAACGGCCAGACACTGATGCGCTGCAGCTCGCGGAAGAACTCGAAGACGGTACGTTCGCAGCACGGGGAGGGGGTGGGGGATCTCAATATCGTCGCGATCCAATCGAAGAGGCCCTTGTGCGCGATGTGCGGAGGCGGCCGCGGACGGCGTTCATTTGCTCTGCGGGGAGTCTGGGCGTTAGATAGGTAACAATAGTGCCTGGTAGATATCAGGAGAAGGAATGTTTATACTCACGCAGCATCCGAGGCGGCAAATGCATTTGATGGACCTTCGTGGGGTTGCGCTCGACGATATGCTCCTCGCTCCCGTAGACCAGGGACATGGTCGCCTCAGCGAAGAGGGCCGCATGACCGGTTGCCCAGCTCGGGAACAGGATTTGTCGATAGTACTTCAGCTCGTCGCCGTCATAAAGCTTCTTGATTTGTGTTTCGGCGTGTTCCGCCCACGATGCGAACCAAGCCTGGAAATCCTTGGGGTTGAGGCCGTACTTGTCACAGGCCAGCACCAGGTGCCACACGTCCGCGACGGAGACCTCCTTCACACTCATCGCGTCCAGGGTCCCGTGTAGCTTGCGCAGTAGGATCTCCATGGCGACGATGTGGTCGTCTTGCAGGGTGATCTTCACGCTGTCGGATTCTGCCCAGCGGTGACTGGTCAGCATGCTCTTGAAGTACTGGCATCCGTCGATGAGCGTGGCGCGGTCGACGTTCATGGTTCTGGTCTCGTGGGGCTGGGGCTCATTTTCCTGGTTTGTGGATGACTTTTCGACGATCACGACTTTAAGGTCAGATGGGGTCGTGATTGTGATCGTGTCGGGGTTCAGGGAGGACATATTGGGGATGATTCTGGACGCGCGCGACCCGCCTTTGGGGAGTGGAGTTGTTGATAAAGAGAAGCTAGATAAACACTCGATAGCTGAGAGGAGCTTGTGATCCACTGAGCCTCAGCTGGGGTATTAACGCACGGGCTTGATTTCCTAGCAGACGGAGAACACGCAGGAGTGAGCAGGGTCAAAAGAAAGAATACCTCTAAAGGCAGCTAGGGGGGACTGGTAGGGAAGATAGAGAATGAAGACGAGGAGAGGATAAGCAAGAGCGTGTTACAAGCAAGATGAAAATGCTGTGAATCCCTACCCAGCCGCATGCTTTTTCACTCCCACTTTTCCCTTTACGGCGTCTAACTGTCCATTCACCTTCTTTCAGCTAAGGAAAAGTCTGAGTCGTTACAGCACTGATGCTGGCGCTCAGTCCATGGCCGATATGAAATCGTTGAAATGTGGTACAGCTGAGGGGTCATACCATGTCTCAGTAGAGAATCTTGCAGCTCCTTCTCAAAGATACTCGTTCCCTTAATTCACATAAGACTGTGGTATGTTGACGAGGGAGGTCAAGAAGGCTGATTCGGTCGGAATGTTATAAGGTCTTGCTGTTTGTAGTTGACTGACTTCCCTTTGCGTGGATAGTCACTTGGTGAAATAACCCTGGATCACGTGGTTAGCTCACTTGACAATACCGACACAGTTGATCAAACCCACAGTAAACAACAACAAGAGGTCGATAACGTTACTGTGTGCTAGGCAAGTAACGCAGTAGGTGTTAGAACACCAACTGTAGAATTCAACCAACATCTTGTGTCCATATGAACATAGTACATGTACTGTACACTACGCAGGAGCACTGCTTCTATGCTGGACTAACAGGCCAAGTAACAGAAGAGAAAACTAACACATGCTGCTTTGCGATAACCCTGTGATTTTGAATAGAGCTCATCCAAACTCCTTCACAAACGAAGCTAAGAAACTGGCTCCATCCTCGCAACCTTGACGATATCACTCCGCTCCACAAGCCACACCCGGGAACCGTCATCTGCCCCACCCAAACCGCCCTCCAGGGCCCTTAGCCTAGTCATCAAAGCAGCCTTAGCAATCACGCCAGCATCCTGACCAAGCGTATCTCTCCAAGAAGGAGCCACACTCCCAATGCCCTGCACCAGCCCCTGTGCGAGCCATTCCCCAGGACGGCTCTCACCACGATTCCCCATTATAATCCCGGGACAGAGGATGACAGTCTTCTCGAACTGCAACGCTTTGAGATCGGCTTCAATGCGACCCTTCATCCGTGCATAAGGGACCCAGGAGCGCTCATTGGCGAAGGACGAAGAGACCAGGACACACACCCGGCAGCCCGCTTGCCGGGCGGCCCGTGCGAGCTCGAGCTGCAGGCTGTGGTCAATCAGGGATTGGGCCTCGAAGCTGCCGCCGACAGCGGCGCGGGTCGTCCCGAACGCGGAGAACAAGATCGTGGGTCGTTGCCTTGCGGAAGGCCGCGTGATCTGGGCAAGCCACTGGGCTGGGTCTGAAGAGACAAAGGCGTGGACTTTATCTGATGACAATGCCTCTGAGGGGCTGCGGCGGGAGAAGGTGCTTATTGAAGCGATGGCCTCACTGGCGATAAGATTTCGCAGGATGTGAGATCCCTATCATTTTTCCAAAGAGTATTGTCAGTAAGCGTGCAAATCGGACACGCGGTACTCTGTCCCAGATACGGCGCTAAAAAGCCAAGAAGGGATGGTCGGGGCTTACCACTAGTCCGGTACAACCTATTAGTATTGCTGATGCCATTGCTGAGGCTTGTTCAGCCCAGATTTCTCCGCAAAATAATCGACGTAGCCATGCAGAGGGGGTAGAGAGATGGGGGAAGGGAGTCAGAAGACGTGCCTGGAGCCCGAGAATTGGATTGATGAGGAAGTGCTTTGCCAATGCATGCTGACAGGCTTCTCCCTCACCCAACTATGCACGGTACAGTACATCCACTCTACCCTTACAATTCCATGTCCTGGGAATACCGGTGAAAACCCGGGGCAGGGTGTACATAGAAAACCTGTCGGAAGATCCTGGTTCCGTCCCCCGTTCCGGAGTGCGGGTGCAACGACCATCCGAGTTCCCGAGTGTGCTACGGGGACGCCCAAGTTTGATTCCTAGGTGCAGCGCAACTCGACTCGTTCCTCTTCTTCACAGTCTCATAGTTATCCCTTTTATTGAGATCGAACCATAAAGGTAGCCTTACGCCTACTCTACATGCTACATAGTCAGTGCAATGAGGCCCCCAATATGTTTATTCTAACAACAGATCGGAACGGATAGGCATTCTGGAGATGATGTATCATACGGCAAGTTATGGTCCATCTTTGTGCAAACTTAGTGGAGTATTATGGTTAGACTGGCAAGATTCGATTGATTTCCAGACTTGGGACATTGTAATGTCCCGCCTCAAAGTCTCCATTGTGGGAGCTCCAAAAGGGGGCAAGAATCTTAAATTTATCAGAACGAAGATAGTTACATTGCTCAGTCTCCAGAAAGCATCAAGCCAGGGAAGAAGTTCTTCTTGGGGGATCTAGAAAAGAAAAGTGGTCTACATAATCAAGTCAAACTGAGAATTCTGTCCATTGTCTGTCAAGGCTTGTGGAAGTTTCGTGGTACTCAAGTCTACTTAGATAAGTTCTGAGTCCTATGAAAGTTAAAATATCCCTCACACAATCTATGTCAACCGAAGCCCAAGATGTTATAGGCACCTAAGACATTTCATCGACGAATAAGCGAAAAAGCAGACCATCAAGATCTGAAAGGTAATGTGGTGTACAACCCTCTGCCCAGCACTAACCCAATTCCCACCAGAAATCGTAGGTCTGAATATGCGAAAGCTGGTGCGGAACGGCTTCCTCTCGCTCCTTCTCGGAGTCTCTCCTGTACTGCAAAGCCTCGGGGAGATGCATCGGCCAGGGCCCTGTTTCCTTCATGACCATGTCCATCAGCTCCTGGGGAAGAGTCGAGAGCGGAGTCGTGGCGGAATTCGCCAATACCGCATTGCGCCACCAATCATGCTGCTGCGGGGGCACATTTCGAGTCGAGGCGATGCGATAGTGGGGATCCACCAGCCACAAGATGACGCACCGCTGATGGCCTGGGCGGCTCGGGTCGAGCAAGGAGAACGGAAGCCTCTTGTATCGCAAGGCATTGGGCCACAGGAGAAAACGACCCGGAGTAACGGCGACGGACCCTAGGGTTTGTAGCGGCAGAGCGTTTGGGTCTTCGCCCGGTCCCGGGGAGGGAGGGATTCCGTAGAGTTTGTAGATGCAGAACGGGTCCGGTTGATGGCCGGAGATGTGCAACCGGTCCCGTTGTTGGTAGGAGATGCGAGATTCTGTGATGTTCTCCGCGCTATAGCAGAAATGTGCGGTGGCGACAATATGCTCGTTGAGCATCCCGTCTACGTGGTATTCTGGATCTCCGGTGTATGCATGGGCACCATCATCACCACAACCCTCAGGCGTCAGATCGATGCTGAAGACTTGAACAATCACCTGCAGGCCCTGTTTGCGGAACTGATCTTCGAGCGACACCGAGTAGTAGTCGTGATTTCGAGGCGGGTCGAACTCGTGGTCACATGGCCATGGCCCGAAGATGGGGTTCGCGGTCTGGCCTCTTTTCCAGTCTTCATACGTATAGGAAAGCCCGGGCTCGGGGTATGAGAACCGATGCAGTCGCCTGAACTTCGCCCGGATAATCTCTTCGACGCGTGCAGGGGACGCCCACATTTCCGGCGTCATCCAAGCCAGAAGATCCTCCGTCTCAGGGGGATCCCCGGGCTCGGGTTCGAAGACACGGTACTTGAGATCCACATCAGACAATTCCAAATACTCTCGCACCTTGTCACAGTGACTCTCCCATTGCTCGGGAGACCAGGCGCGTCGAGTAATCTTCTGATTCCACACGACTGGGAGAATGTCCTCCGGCGGTTCTACATCCATGGGACATTCTTCTTCTCGGTCTGTGACGCCATAGGTATAGATGCGCCGAGGCATGCGCCCGCCAGCGCCTTTGACTAGAACCTCATTCCACGGTCCTATCGCGCGAGAAATAAGTTTCTCGATTGCGAAATAGGCCTGGGTATGGCTTGGGTGGAGATTGTTGATATACGAGGTGATCTGTACTGCCGTCCCCGACGGCTCCGCAAACTCCACCTCGCAAGGTAGCCATTGGAAGCGAAAGGAAACCTGTTGTAACTTGAGATTATCCTGAAGATAAAAGAGTTCTCGGGGAATCAGGGCCGTTCTACTCCTGGAGGGATCCTGCACAGGTGCCGTGGCTTGTCTGGGATCGGTGGAAGGCTGATAGAACTGGAAGATTGAGCCGTCCGCCGCAGGCGGAGCAACCTGACCACCATGGCTGAGAACTGTCGTCTGACCATAAACCAGCATATAAAGCGACGGGTCTACTAAATTGTGAATGCCACCACCCTTCGTTGTTGGCAAGAGCGGACGGAGTGCTTCTTGGAGATCATCCCCCAGAGCCTCGTCGTCGATTTTGCCTACGCCGGAGTCGGCATTGAGAACGATGACATATCCAGTGTCGCGGAAGCTCTTAGCCTTATCCTGCAGTTCCGCTACGCACCAGAGCCATGCTTTCGTCGTGATCAGGTCCATGTCCACGTCCTGATCTGAGTTCGAGTCAAGGCTCGCGTAAGATGAAGATGCCTGTGCACGCCACTTAGCAAGATTCTGTTCGTCAAACACATCGTGTTCCCAGTTGGGAATGTCTGTGATCCGTTCCATGAGCCGCAACATCTGGACCTCAGGTGCGGTCAGTCTGAGGGCTCTCCTGGAGTAATGCTCGCGTGCTCCATGTGCAAAGCGTTGGTTAATATCGAGCTCATAGTCCAAGGGAATATCGCTGAATCCTGGCACTCGGATTGGAACGGAGCCAGTATTGTCGAACTGCAAGGGTGATTCTGTCTCGTCGTTCATATTTGGTAGCTGAATGCTTGCCGCCGCCACGTGGGGGAGCGGAAGAAAGAAGAAACACACCTGCCGCGCTCCAAGATTATATAACATGTTCTGTACGTCAATTAGGTAAGGAGTTGGTATCTAACGGGCTAGCTTATCCGAGTGCCCGTTGCGCAAATACCGGCGGTGTAAGGTTCAAGGTTATCTATTACTACCCATCCCCATCTCGGAGCTGACGGACACTCGCATGGTACCTATACCCTCCATGCTTTGCGTATATATAAAAATTTTGGTCGCTCGTCGTCAGCATTTCGACAGTTTATGGCATACGGAAACAAAGGCATGCATTGTCATTGTAGTTACTCCTTGGAAAATGGCTGTCGTCTGGATAAAAAAAAAGGCAATAGCACCAAGTGGGACTTTGAGGTATCACAGAGAGGCTAGAGGCAAGAACGCTGGAATAACCGGGGAAAGATTCAGAAACTTTAACTCGAGCATCGCCTGCCGCCTCAAACTCTCTCTTCGCAATTCTTGCCCTGACTTCGTCTTTCAATGATGGTGATGATGGCTACCGTCTTTGTGGAATTGAAGATGCCGTTTGCTAGCGGCATCCACTGGGATCTGAGCCGAGTAAAAGGGTCAGTGAAATCACAACAAACGAATAATCAAAACTGGGAGAACCACTCATGTATTATGAAGAGACCTACCATACTAGGAGTAGGCCAAGATGTTGCAGTCTTGTGAATCAGATGGGATGAAGATGACATGGGTGAAGGCCGAACGCTCTGGGAAGGACTGCTCCCCTGACCGCACAAACCATAGGTGAAATTGGGATTGGGTGCTGTTGCGACCGGAGAGTGCCGAAAAAGTTCACACTGGCCACCACCGGTGAAGAGCCAGGTTCGACATGCAGGAAGTGTCGAGCATTTGTGGCCACAGTCTGCTGCATTGGTATAGTTGGAACCGAACGTCAGAGCGGTTCCACTGAAGAAGGCGATGGTATCATGGACGGAGTTGTCTAGACAAGCGGTACTTGCGATCGTAGTCGCAGTGAGAGCAAAGAGACCCAGAAAGATAGAGTGATACAACAACATCTTGTGCTATTCAGGGCTCTCCGGTGCTTCAATGCCGAGACACATGGCCCCTTTATCTCATTTTGGTACATCGCGTCGGGCATGAGGGTTCGTCGGTCATGGTAAAACTAGTCTCCTAGGGAACTACCGTAGTGACTATTCAGGGGGTGTTTGTTGAATTCTGGCATTAGCACAGTATAATCTCCGAGGTCACCGCTAGGTAGGTAACTTGTCTTGACTCTTGAGTCATGGTAATAGATATGAGGCATGTGCTTTTGATTAACGCAAATAACGCATTCAATGGTTTGCCGGAATGGCCTACAAATCCAGTATGGTCGCCTATTTTAGCTCAGGACTGCTGAGTCCCTGGTGGGGTGGGGTCCCGAATTTTCGGCGTCCGTTCACGTTGCTGATAAGAGTTTTTTATGAGCTTGTTTTAGGTAAGAACTCACCAGGGTCCACTGCTCGGATCTTTAGATGCCCTCCCTGAAAGGCTTGTCTCTACTGAGAAAATTCAGAGATCTCGAGATCGGGTGCATCCCTGAAAGGCTTGGAATGTTGATCTCCGGTTGTCAATGCACCGCACTTTTACAGTACTTGACTTTCCCAGGGTCCTTCGAAGGCTGCACATTCTAGAGCAACCTTACTTAGCGGACTGGAGACAGGGGTTTCATTGATTTTCCGGCAATCTCGCCACAGGCAGGCGCTAGGTAGATTTTGCCACTGGTGAGCATTTGACGAGATTGGAGGCTGCTAATGAAAGCAACGGCTCTACCACTATTGGAACTACTCCTTTTCACCGAGCTCGCCTGAGATTGCGGCAATGGGACGCTATACCGGATCCACGCGAAAATCTAATTTACCTTACCCTAACTTACTAGTAGGATGAATTACCTTGGGATAAGACCCCTGCAGTCGGGGTCTCTCGTGTTCTACCCCACCGTGGACTCTGTATAGTAACTAGACTGGATCTGTAAGCCCTACCGAGCACTACTAGAAATATGCCAGCACTTATGTCCGCAAACCAATCCTGGCACAGAGCGGGTTGAAATTGAGAGATTACCCCTATTCTACGGGGAAAACGAACAGCTAGCCGGTCCTGGATTAACAGTAGGGTCTCTCAGCACTAGCTGCAGCCTAACACACCCTGACTTCTGGCGATTAAGGTACCGTACAATACCACCCATTTCAACCTGGTCTAGCTTTTGAGCTGGGGATTGTGGTTTCTACAAATCCACGCGATGTTTGAGTCTTGAACTTGATTCCACTATTATTTTCCACCATTTACCTACGTACACTGCCAAGAGCCACTGTCAACGGACATCGAAAAGTCCATATAATTTACCCTCCGCTATCTCACTCAATATTTCATGACTAATCTAACTTTATGACCCTGACCCTGACGAATTAGTTTACATCAAGTAAAAGTTCTGTGCCAATCGGAAGGAAACAACAGCAGAGAGGAGTAGCCCCAGGGACGGAAGATTCGGATGAAGAAAGATAGGGGGAACGCAGGACAAGGAACAAGAACCAGGACAGAAGCTAGTAGGTAGACGGTCTCTCGAGTACTAGGGCTCATGCGACTCATGAACAGCCTGCTTCGAGCGATGCCACCGACCGCTTATACAGGTCCGCAAGTGCTTGATGTGATCGATATCGACTGTTCCCAGGCACGGCCTGCGCCCAGCTCAAAAATTCCCTGTACGTGTCACCAACTCCCGCCAAGTCTCCGGTTGCTGTCTGCAATGCCATGCTGGCATAGTCCAAATCCGTGTAAACAATGTGTAGTGATGGCGACACGGTTCTATCCTCGTCCAATATTCGTTGGGTGCTCTCCAGGGTAATGGACGGGTACTTCTTGGCGAAGGCCTTCGCTTTGTAGCCGGTCAGTTCTGCCTCCCCTTGGATGACCAGCTCAGTGAGCCGAACAGCCTGCGCCCAATTCAGGGCCACCGTTGCTTTGGCCACCAAGTCCGCGGATGGTACAACCGCTCGAGCAGTTTGTATTTTGTTAACGACCGCGGTGATTAGCTGTCCCATGTTGCCTTGCCCGTTCTTGATTATCACGTCTTTTTGCAGGAGAGAGCCGTCGTAATTCCAGGCTCGGTCGATATCTAGAGCTGTGTCATAAACGTTGGGGCTGGTAGTCGCCCCCCGAGTTGTGGGCGTGAGCTTTTTCAGCAGATCAGGGTCCATGATCTTTTCAATAAACTCCAGCAGGGTGCAGTCTTTATTGATGCAACCACCCCCAATGGTAGCCTCATATGGCACGCCGTCTGCGGCCGCTCTGGCAGCGGCAGCGGAATCGATTTGGTAGGCGTAGTAGAAAAAGATAGCCTCAAAAGGACCGGTGAACCCGGAACAATGTGCAAGGTTGATGAAAGCACTCAGAATAATTATAGGAAAGATTAGCTTCATTTTAGATAGCTTCGAAAGAAGAAGGTTGGGGAGTATTCGTTCCAGTTCAATCGCAGAATTGAAATCAGCTTCTTGCTAGATGATAAGGCAGGAAATAAACTAAAGGAGAGCATCATACCCAGAAAGCTATCAGCAATGCCTATTTATCCTCGAGTCGTATCTGTCTCTCCGTCAGAGGGAGGACGGAGCTTGGTCATGGTCGATTTGAACATTTGCGACCAGAATCCGTTACTAGTGCGTAAAGCCGATTTGAACGCCGGCGTGCTACTAGTCCGTGTTACCTCAATCAAGAAAAAGGAACCAAGTCCGTGGCTATAGGAGCCACTAATTTCAATTGTTGAAAGGGGCAGTACTGGCACTAGTAGCACGGCTACTAGAACATAGACTATCCACTGCAACACTCGTGGTGGAGAATTGTGGACCGACGGACTCATGGCAAATATTCCCTCATGTCGCGAGCCCAGAGGCCTATCTAGCTAGTACTCACTCGCCATCGTTTTAAAAAGATCAATGATAATAATGCTATGCCTGTCGGGGTTTTCCGTAGAGCCCGACCATAGGAGACGGACTTGATCTATCTATAAGTAAATGCTAGAAATCTCTTGCCGAAGCCATGTTGTGACAGAATCGCTCATCTCACCATCTAACGCTCGCTTCTTCAACTCCCGATTCATTCGTTTATATATCAAGAAGTTTCATTCGTTCACTTTCGATCTACTTCTTGTCCTTGACTCAAACCTTTCCCTCTCTTTCAGACTTTGTTTTGTGCACAGGCTAGCCTGACAGACAATTACCTTCATCACCATGGGGTCTTTCCTCCCAGTGATTCTGTCGCTCGTCCTCTTGGCCACCCGAGCCCATTGTCGGGCAGTTTTCGCCCATTTCATGGTATGTCTTTTGGTTTGGCAGTCTGGCAGAAAGGTTTCGCACTAACCAACCGAAAAGGTGTCCAATACCCTGAACTACACAGTTAGTGATTGGGAAAATGAGATGACACTTGCGCTCGACGCCAAGATCGATGCATTCGCCATGAATATGGCCGTGGGCGACGCCACAAATACTCAATCACTCGAGAACGCCTTCGCTGCCGCTGGTAATACCGGACTGTCGCTCTTCTTCTCGTTTGATTACGCAGGCAACGGGGCGTGGGCTAAGGCTGATGTACTCACCATGCTGCAAACTTACACCTCTGACGAAGCATACTGGCATTATGAGTCGAAGCCCTTTGTCTCTACCTTTGAAGGCCCCAACAATGCAGATGATTGGATTGATATCAAGGAACAGACCGGGTGTTTCTTTCTCCCCGACTGGTCCTCCGTTGGAGCGGACGTTGCTGTGAATCTAGGCAGTGGAGTGGCCGACGGTCTGTTCAGTTGGGCGGCATGGCCGTACGGTCCAAGTGACATGAACACCTATGTGGATGCTTCTTATATCGACTTTCTGGATGGTAAATCATACATGATGCCGGTATCTCCGTGGTTTTTCACGAACATGCCCGGATACGATAAGAACTGGCTGTGGCGTGGTGATGATCTTTGGTATGATCGTTGGGTCCAGGCCATGTATTTGGCTCCTGACTTCATTGAGATTATCTCTTGGAATGATTTTGGGGAGTCTCATTATATTGGCCCGATCCAGGACAGTGATTCCTCGTTGGCGGAATCCACGTATACTGCCTTTGGGACGGGTGAATCCCCGTACAACTATGCATTGAATATGCCCCATGATGGCTGGCGAGCGTTTCTTCCCTGGCTCATCGATACCTACAAGAACAATATCTCGACTATCACGCAGGAAGGTGTTCAAGCATGGTATCGACTGAACGTTCGTGGGAGCTGCGCCTCGGACGGCGGGACCACCGGTAATACTGCCAGCGAGCTGCAGCTAGAGTATTGGCCGTACGAGATCCCTCAAGACCGAGTATTCTTCTCCGCCCTACTGGGTTCATCAGCAGACGTCTCAATAACAGTCGGGGATGTTGCTTTGGAGGCGGCGTGGAACAGCACCCCAAGTGGAGGCGCAGGTCTCTACCATGGCAGTGCGGCATTCTCGGTTCAGGCGGGAACTGTGGAGGTGGCTATCAGTCGAGACGGTGCTATCATTGCGAGCTTTACAGGCCCAGACATTGTTACCGGCTGTGCCGCATCCAGCGACATTGAGAACTGGAACGCCTGGGTAGGCAGTGCTATGGCGCCTACCCTGACCTTGGCTACCCCGACCTATTCACTCGCGGAACAGGTCTGCGTCCAGGGCTGGGGGGTAGGTAACTTCGAAGGCCTTTGCGCCTTTGCTTGCAAGCTGGGGTACTGCCCCGTCGGCGCCTGCTTATGCCAAATGATGGGTCCTCAGGCAGATTTACCAAAGAGCTTGGGAGTAGTTGGCTACCCAGCTGCTGGGATGACGGCCGACTACACGGGTCTCTGTGCTTTCTCATGCAACTACGGATACTGTCCTCCGTCAGCCTGTACCACAACCCAAGTCCCTCTTACTACGTCGACCGTGTCGCCCTTCACTCCGAACACCTGTACTGCTGGAGAAGGAACGGGTGACCTGGCGGGTCTATGTAGCTATGGCTGTGGCTACGGCTTCTGTCCGATCCACAACTGCACCTGCACCGCCACCGGTCCCCTGAATGTGCCGCCGGCCGCAAACACGACTATCTATGGTTACACCACGGACGTTTACCCAGATAGCGGCCTGTGTGACTTTGCTTGCGAGCGAGGCTACTGCCCATCACCCGTCTGCTCGGAGGACGTCGGCGGGGACGACGCCAGCGACTTGATTTGCACGGATGATGATGAATCCGTCGACTCCACTTCCAGCTGCCTGCAGGACATCGAGACCTGCGATTACACCCTGACGTTCGACAGCTTTGCAACCCTGAGCTCTTCCTCAAGCTCCCTGCAGGGCTTCTGCGTGAACTACTATGCCCTGGGCATTCTTGCCGATATGCTCAACGCGACGATGGCCAATTACACGGACATCCTGTCCAATTACGGTGGCAAGTTCACCGAGTACCAGAAATACATCCGCGAGGAAGTCCCGGGCGCGCTGACGGCGTACATGAACCCCGGAGGAGCGGGCAATTCCTTTTTTACGTGTACCTTTAGCGACGGCGGCGTCAACACCTCCACGACCAGCTGTCCGTTCGACTCGGAGCAGGTCTACAACGGCTACGAGATCTACTACAATCTCGTCAACGCCACCGCCTTCTGGGCCAACCTCAGTGCCAGTACCGGGATCCAGGAGGACTGGGTCCAGTTCGGGGACGAGGACGTCGGATCGAGCTGCGGCGTGGGGTCCGGCAAGACCTGCCAGCCCAACCGGGGCGTGCTGAAGGGCTACCCTCTGCCGGCGGACACCATCAACGTGACCAACCCGCAGACGATCATCGAGGACGCACTGCCGGGGATCCAGAACCTCACCGAGACGATCCTCCTGACCCAAATCCTGGCGGCGACGGGCGCCTACGGAGGCAGCATGGAGAACGTGCTCCTCACCATCTCGACCGTCGTCTTCACGCTGGCGCAAGCCGTAGCCAACATGGGCGTGGTGGTCGAGGTGGCCGACAAGGCGTCGGCGGAGGAGAAAAGGGCCATGATCGAGGAGATCATCTTTGGCGTCCTCATGATTGTCCCCTTCTTGGGAGAGGTCCGGCTCATTTCGGATGGGCTGGAGCAGCTGGCCGACATGATGTCGCTCATTGGGGACGCGGGCGCCCTGGGCAGTACGATCTACGGGGTAGTCACCGACCCGGACTCGGCGATCTTGGATATCTTCGAGCTCGCCCTAGGGGGCGGGGTCCGGACGCCGGACGAGTTCGAAGAAGCCGCCAATGCCCGTCGCGGGTTGACTGACGACGAGGTCATCAGTCTGGGATCGGACTGGAAATCCTGGAGTGATGACCTCTCTGAGGTGCAGTCGGTGTGCTACTGAGGGCTGGTCGGATTCGGAGATGCGGATATCTCGCAGGGATGTTGCGTTGGATGTACTGTGCGTACATTTCTTGGTCTATAGCCATACCAATGAATATTTTGATTCTCGACAACACTGACGGGGACGGTATATTCCTTGACCTACTCTCTCCACAATCTTTGCTTGTCCCCTCTCTATTCCAAACGATATTCTTCAATCAATGCTCCAGCAATCTTCAGCTGTGGGGTCTTGGGGTAGCCAGCTCAGCCGCCGGCAGTCGATGAGTGAGTAGATAGACCATTTACCTTCTGGATGTGCAAGTCTTGCTGGAAGCCCGCGAGTTGTTGGGGCTCGCGGAGTTGGAGCCGGAACCTGCCTTGGCCAAGGTCTGGATGCACTTTGCGCTACTGTTAGACGTAAGGGAGGCTTGACGTACATGCCAAACCGTGCCCATGCGCCGCGATAATTGATAAGAGAAGATGAGTTAAAGGGGTAGGGGGAAAGAAAGAATAAACGAGGTATAGAAAAGTTTTTGCTTGCGTGATTCCAGTTTACTAGAGCTAATACCCCAGGCGTTTGACTTTTTGGCAATCAGAGATCTGTCTTTCTTTCTGACTTATTGCGACCTTTCTGAAGCATAGTAGTGGAAATTGACATAAACATAGTTCTAATTAAATCCCGAAATATGGCCTCAACACTCAACATACATAGAACCGCAAAAGATAAGACAAAAAAACCCCGAGAACTTCATTGGAGGACAACCTGCCCACCCGGCTCACGAAACACCAGCTGATTGTTGTGGAAAAGCTCTCGCGCGTGTCCCATAGCTAGTACTATACCTAGTACAGTACCTAAGAATGCCTTGCTACGCTGCTGCCAGCGCCGGTAATGGCCCCTTGTGCAGTGAATCTTGCTTTTCCAGTTGTGTCACAATGGAATCTGCAGCGTTTCCAGGCATCGAGTTTGAAGTACCTCAGGCACTGCCCAGCTTAATACCGGCCAAGGAAGGAGGGCCCATGTTGAGGCTGCTCTTGCAACGAAAGTCGGCTAAACTCGCGACGCACCACCTCCTCTGATTCCCCGGAACCGGAGGAAGCGGCTGGGTTCCTCGACTGCAGCAAGAAGCCATTGGTATTCGGCGCACCGAAGAAGGAGGAGCCGCCTGCACCGGGCGATGAGAACCCGAAGCCTCCCGCCGCGCCCATCACCCACTGGCGGTCACAGAAGCTGCGCGCGTCGACACTATAGGAGCTGGAGAACGTGTTCATTTCCGCGGACGCTGAGCCATAAAGGGTGATGCCCGTCAGTCGAAGCGCCCCGGCCCGATTCGCGCTGGCGGTCACCATGCCTCCATATCCGTTCCAGTTGGTAGTCTGCATATCACCCATCCGGTTCGCGTAGGCCGTGACTGAGCCACCGAGCGGGTTCCATCTGGTCAGCCCCATATCACCCTGAATGCTTGCCGTGGCTGTGACCACGCGCCCGCAACCGTCGTCCGCGGGCAGCTCAAGCCCGCCGGGGCCATCCACCCTGAGTTAATAGGCGCCACCCGAACGAATAGGTATTGTCGCCTCCTGCTCGCGGAGGACAAACGGTGTCCATACCGGTCGCCGATGGAAGGGGTTGGTGTCCAATCGCATTTGCCAATCTCCCGGACGTGCCTGACCGGAGCTGACGAACCCGGGAACGCCAAACTGTTCTTGTAGGCCCAACGGATTCGAGCCCCAACTCATAGCTGCGGTGGCGACGGCGCTGAGATAATTTTGACTCGGGGGCTGTTTCGATATGAGGGTCGAGGTTCAGCCAGGGGGAGAGAGGCGTCTCTGAGTAAGATGGAGAGACACAGCAAGGCGAATGGTGAAGAGGAGAGAAAATGACAGGATAGGGCAGGTGCAAGAGAGCTCAGCGAAAGCCTGCTGGTGTGGTGTTGGAGAAAAGTTGAAGTATAATGTGGTTCGACGGTGCCGGATCGCTGGATCCCTTATATCCTGTGCTCGTGTTCTTGTCCACAAGGCAGGATGGGCATGCAACTCTTTGTTCCATGACTGGAGATGTTTTTACACCGCTAGATAGCAGATTCATTGCTTAACAAGAAGTGAAATTAGCGGGATATTGGTCTTGTCTCTGGATATCCTTTCAGCATTTAACATAGTTTATGGCATAAGCCTTTTGGCTGTATGACTCTCCGTAAAACTTTTTGACCATCGGAGTTACAACCCACAACGGCGTAAACATCGGCAATCACAGCAGAATATAGAGCTTGTGCCAGTTATCTCATGTGCAGCGCCAGCGTCTTGCCGACTAAGCGATACACGGAGAGCTGAAGATTTTTGATGTGGTTTTGAGGGGAAAAAGCCTCCTTTCGCCGCCCTCCGCTCGATTGTTGATTCAGAAGAATATCTTGCTTTCTTTGTCCTCTTCGTGTTTTTCGCTCCGTGTCTCGGTTCTTCCCCTCTGTTGTCGCAGACCTGGCTCTCGTACTGAGACACGTGATCATCAAAGCCCCGAAACACGGGATGGAGGAGAGATCACCTGCCAAGACGAACACGCTCCGCTGTCTTGGATTGATATTTCTCTCGGCTCATTGGGTTATACACTGAGTAACACCTGCAACGCGTGAGCATGGTCGGATTCAAGGCTTTTGACGGTGCTTGGGGCTGTGCAGATGGCCTCAGACATGGTGATTCCACTTTGTGTTCTCCTGGAAAGACATCCAGCTCCTATTCACATAATCCAGCCAGTTCACTGTCTTAGCCACACCCATGATTTGTGAGAATCTGAAACTGGTGGTATCATTTCGGCCGCCGCGGCCACTCTCTTCCTGTCCTGGAAAAGACGCATTTGGTCTTCCTTACCCCCCTCCTTTCCCTCCCTTTGCCTGGGCCTCTGCCATTACCTACTGCAGACAGTTTTAGCCAAATCATAGACTGTTCAGAGGGCGAAACGGTATCTAGGTAGTCTGTAAATGTTATTAATGCCAGGCGAACGTCCCAGCAGAGCCTTTGAAAGGCCAAAGACATGACAGAAGCAGTGCCGAGCTTTTTGCTGCTCCAGCCGGATGCTGGGATTCACCGGGACATAGACCCGTGAGGCGGTGACTTGCCAAAAGTAGAGACAACTTTCCCAATCGGATAGTCACAAGGCTTCTTTCCTCCTGTTCATTATTATGGCTATTGGCGTACATCTCATTCCGATGCTACTATGTACATGTCTGTACAGTACTTGGATAGGCTAACCAACCAACCTTTAGTGAGTCAACCTAAGCGCTTAAATGAGGGGCTATACGCGCGATAGTGCAAGCACACGCTCTGTCCTACCTCAACGCCTCTACTTCGCAACCTCATCAACCACCCCATTCCGTAAAGAGAACATTTCTTCCAGCTGCGCAGTACGCAACCATGCCCTCCGACCTCCTTAAACCACTGGCCGTATTCGCCCGCCAGCCGCAGTCGCAACGCTACATCAAAGCCATCAGAAACCTGGGAGATGCATGGCGTCGCCTCGCTGATGAGCCTCTACCCGAGTCAGATACCAAGTCCACTCTCGTGGAAACCAATTTCGATCTGGTCCTTACAATCGAGAATGCTCAGGATGATCAGTCGTCCCTATCGAATCCCATAGTCGTCGAGATGTCCACTCGCGAGCCTCTGGCTGCGCCGACCGAGGACACCACTGCATCAGGATCTTCGCCCCGTCACTACCGGATCTTCGCTGACTGGGGCACGGATTTCATCTGGCGCGATTTCGACGACCTGCGGGGTGACGAAGGGGACTGCATGCTGGACGCAGAAGAAGTCCTCTCTTCCCCCCTGTACCCGGCTCGTGTCTTTGAGAACTACGATGCGTGGGTGGAAACGTACGCCGAGAACTTTGATCAACGACGCAACAAGACCGGCGACTTCCATGCCTCCACGTTTGCCACCGTCACGGAAGAAGTGGCCTGGAATGTGGCGGGGTATCTGCTGGCTTGGCGCATTGCCATGGCGCCTGATGTCGGGAGGATCGAGCTCAGCGCGGGCGTGTCGAAGTATATGCTCGAAAAAGGGAATGAGACGAGTGTGACGTTGTCCTTTCTACGGGTTCAGGCTGAGCTCTTAGCGAAGGGAGAGCCGGTAGCATAGCAAACTGAATGTTTTAGGCGGCGGACATTGTTGTGGTTTTCCGCATGCGCATGTAATGATAACCGACCGGCATGTATGCTTTTTCGAGGGACGGGTCTTGGTTGCATCGGGACGATACAACAGGCAGTGTTTTCTTATGTGTTTCGTGTGTTCTTAGCTACTTGGTACGAGGGTGGGACGAAACATGCCCTGACTACATATTCTGGCCCAGTCACATCGGTATCAGAGGGGTCGTAGTCTTTCGCTTCTGCACTAAGTCTCGTTTTCTGCCCACTTACCCGGTTCTCGGGTATATCGAGCAAAGACTAATTCGGTCCTCTTCTTCCTCCTCTCTCGCTTATAACCGTCGGCATTTCTTGATATGCCCGAATCTACAACACGGCGACAAATATTCCGGTTCATGACATCACTCGATGACGGTACAGTTAGACTATTGAGCCACCGGATCATAAGCTAAGGCTTTGAATATACCGGCCACACTCTGTCTTACAGTGATAAGGGCATCAGGCCGAGAGAACAAAGACAAAAAAGAAATGACGTCCTAGGAGAGGATCGAACTCTCAACCTCACGATTAACAGTCGTACGCGCTAACCAATTGCGCCACCAAGACGTGCTTGATGTATTGTGTTTAGTTGGTTGCGTACATATCCCTCTGTCAAATCTAGGCTATGGTTTCCTTGACACAATCGATGATCCCGTGGCCCGCTGTTTTCTGTGCGTTCAAGGGTTCAAGTAGCCAAGAAAACTGACCCCAAGACTCAATCATTTATTTTTTTTCCCCATCATTACTGGTCTCTACTCGTGCGAAAGTATCGACTATATATCGCTGAATATCAACCGATGAAATCGACCACACGCTACAGCCAGACTCTGTCAGTCAATGACAAAATATATATCTTATGCTCCATACCCGCTCCACACTCCCCCAAGACTTACCTATCAACATACAAACATCGCACCTTTTATCCCGCCTTAGAATAGCTATACCCATAACCTCTAGACTAAAACCATGCAGCCCCTGCTTTGATCTCCAAAACGATCCCCTTTCAAATGAAGCACACAAGGGGTCATGGCACACGGGTATCACAACACCCCCCCCTCGGAGCTCCCAGCTCAAACACCCCCGACCCCCGATGTGGAGCCCACCCTATCTCCATCCCGACCAATCACCTAGAACCATAGGTCTCCACTTCCAGTTCCGTTGCCCTTAAAATTTCTTAAAATTCCTACTCTGTATATTATTCTCATAAAGGATTACGTGGATCCCTGACCTCCAAGCGGAGGTGGTTCCTGCCGATCAGTGGTGAGGGTTACGCATTCGAGGCGATTTGTTTCTGATTCTGTCTGGGTTTACTGGCATGCAATAATAGATTCTAAATCCTTCTTTTTGGTCCCTTGGTGGCTAGAAGGGGTGCCTGGGTTCGAGTCCCTAGGGGCCGGACCCTGACTGGGTCTTGAGCCTTTTTTTTTTTTTTTGGGAGGAAGGGCGTTTCAGGGTTTCATGGAAATTTTGTTGAATCGAGATGGCCTGGGTATGTCATGGAGGTTCTTGGCAGTGACGTGTGCTCTGCGTTTCTTCGGGGGAATTGAGGGAGGCCAAGATAGGTCTCGGCTGCGAGGGGGGCCGACATTTGGTGCTGGGGGGTTGATGAGGGATGGATTGTGCTTGGCAGGCTTTTAGTCTTGAGTTGTTTTAGTGTACGATAGAATGGTCTTACAAGACTCCTATGTGGAGGTGTTCAGTTTAGATGGTACCGATAAGAGTGATTGATAGAGCTAAAGTATAAAGCTAATACTAGGATACAGGATGGGTAGAAGCGAAATGGCTCTCATCGATCAGTCACGGCGACTACAGTGACGAGGTTAGGGCAAGGCCAGCTCAGTAGACAGGAAGCTTGAAAGCAGGGAACTCGTAGGTCCAGGAGTCGATGGACTTCTGGTCGTGGACGCAGGAGAAGCTGCTGTTGCTGGACCAGAGCGGGCGGGTGGGCCACTGGCAGAGCATCTGGGTCTCGCCGGCGTAGGAGCCGGAGGAGACGGTGGCGTTGAGACGGGAGGGCTTGACGCCGTTCTCCACCCAGTTGATCATGATCTCCATGTTGTCCTCGGGGTAGGGGCCGGGCTGGAGGGAGTTGGTGCCGCAGTGGGCGGCGCCGGGAACCAGGTAGAACTGGTACCAGTCGGCCATCTTCTGGAGCGACTCCTGGTAGCTGAGGTCGCCGTACATGATGGAGCGGACGGCCTGCCAGTAGTGGACGGAGGAGGCGGCGGGGATCGAGGGGTCGGACTCGCCGTGGTAGTGCAGCAGCTTGCCGCCGGAGGACTCGAACTCGGTCAGGTCGGGGATCGTCGTCTGCAGGCTGTCGATGTAGCGGATCATGCCCGTGTTCATCCAGCCGACCAGCGTGTCGTAGGTGACGTTGTCGAGGTTGGACAGGTTGTCAATGTTGAGGAGCTGCACGAACTTGGTCACATACTCGCCGCCGGTGGACGGGATGTCAAGCTCCCACGCGCCGGTGTCGGAGTTGTACTCGGTCGTGGCGTCCGACAGCTCGGAGCCGATCTGCCACGACAGGTAGGCGCGCTCGCCCTGGCTGTTGTGCAGACCGTCGTAGATCGCCTGGGCGAGCTTGACGCCCTCCGCGGTCACGGTGCCGTTCTGAGCGGGCTGGTAGCTGGTCGAGCTGCCTTCGGCGCGCTTGCTGAAGCCGAAGCCCAGGGAGGTGTAGTTCTGCTCGGCGCAGTAGTAGGACTCACCGATCACAGAGGTCAGGTTGAAGTTCAGCATGCAGAGGTCGGTACGCGAGATGACACCGTCGGTACGGCCGTCCAGAGGGTCGCAGGCCTCGATGGTGGCGTTGACGATCTTGTCGAGCATGCACGGCTCGGGGTAGTAGTCCATGGTGTGCTCGACGGCCGAGGAGAAGACGTGGTGGACCTGCTGCTGAGCGAAACGGAAGGCTGTTGGGAAAATGTTAGGGATCGATGCGCTCTGGTTGTAGAAGTCTGTCAGGGTTTGGCTTACCGGGAGCTCCAGTGATGGCACCATCATATTCGGATCCCCAGCGTTGGACCTGGCTCATACCCTCACGACCACCGTCGGAGCAACCCTCGTAGTAAGTGTAGATCTTCTTGTCGCTGTCCAGACCATAGAAGCCCCGGGCAAGGGGCTTGGCGATCTGGGTCATTTCACCCAAGGCCCGGTAGCCGAACATGTAGGTGGCATCCCAGTTGATGGAGCCGTTGCCGTACAACACAACCTCATCGTAGCTGTAGGAGAAAGCGTCGTAGCCGGCATCAGTGGCACCTTCATCGTGTTAGAACATGTCTTAGTAGTTAGAGTTGTTGTTCATGATAGCTTACCCGATGCAGCGCCGTACTCGAGACCGCCAGTGGCGTCGCTGGAGAGCGAGAAGCCACCGCCACCAGCAACGTAGAAGCGGTTCTTGAACTCAGACGGGCTGGGGAAGGCATACTTGAGGACGACCTTGTCGCCCTTGCCGGTGTGAGTGTAAGCGACAGTCACGTTACAGTAGGTGTAGCTGTCCGCGCGCTTCATGCTGCCGCCCATGCCACCGCTGGATGTGGTGACACCCGCGGTGACGGACGAGGGGATCATGTTGATGCCCAGAAGGGTGCCATTGGAAGGCAGAGCAGACTGAACGTTGGACACAGTACACAGATCAGAGAGCGAAGTGGCATTGGCCGTTGCGGCTGCCAGAGCAGCAACAGCTGCACGGGAATACTTGCCCATGGTAGGCAGCTGAAATGACTGGATTGGTTGGTAGACTCAAGAGAAGAATGGATGAGGCTGGATGGTGAAGAGATCGACTTGAGGAGGCGCATGGCTTCTATTTAAGCAAATGCGGTCTCAAGTATGAGGCACTGCATGGCCGAAGAGCATCCATGGATAGTCGGCCCATAATTGGAACGGAGGCGGAAAGCATGTTTGGGCCCACTTGTGTTTGACGTCCCTGCCCGGTTCCCTTCATCCCTCGTCACCCGCTTGCGTGGCCCTCCCCAGCACTTAGGGTCTAAGGGTTCCCTGGTAAAACTGAGGTTGAGTCTGCTACTGCTTCAGCCTTAATCCACTTGCCAAGCGAAAGGCACCTCTAGCGTATTGCAGTGATAATTTTGCACTTTTTGCCTCCTCGCCGTGCGGTCTTGAGATATGACCCAATAGGCTGGGAGTACAACATGAGTCCCACCATGGGATGACCAGAACGTAGACAAGATAGCTGCGTGCTCAACGTTTCCAAAATTGGTTTTTGATGGCATCAAATCCCTAAAGCCATACCCAAACTTGATGGTGTTCTGTAAGGATGCTAGGGCGGTAATAAGCTTATCCGCAGTCCCCACTGATAACCGATCTGGGATGCTTGGCACAGACTTGGCGCTGGATTAGGGTCTCCCGAGCCACTTTGTATGCCCTGGACAAGTTTCTTCATCCTGCAGCCTAGTTATGCGCCGGGCTGAGTACTGTTTCGGTGGCGAGATCCCTTGCCCCCTGCAAAAATCGAGGGATGCAAACCTTGAGCGTCATCTGCAAGCGCAGGTGATAAGGCTACCCCATGTTCTACTATGCAAGTGGAATCCCCAGCTCGGCTGTCAAAATCGTCATTCTCACTGTCAAAGCAGAATCATGGAAAGCCCAGCCACCGGCTTCCCTGCAATCAATACTAAGCTTTCTACGCTGCGAGTCAATCTCGCTTATGCATGCAGAGTAAGTGGCTTCGTCAGCTCTGCCATAGTCAACCCAATCGATGGATGTGTATGAGTTCTGTCTCATCTATCTGAGGATTAGGCTTGTGCCAGAGCTAACCCGTAGACAACGACCTATAACGTTAGTCTGCCTGCTGGACTCTCGCTAAGTCTTGGCTAGCTGGTTCGAAAAGTGAGCAGCGCTGCTGTCGCAGACACGAGGATATGAAGCATGGGCGCCGTGGTGTGCCTGCCAAGCTGCTTAGATACGCAGTTGCGAAGATCGTCATCTCAGCATTATCCAGAAGATGACTTAAAGTTCGAAATAGAGTGTATTGATTCTACTGATTCCTCTTTTGGGGGTCCTTTGCCCGGAGATCCACCGAGAGAAAGAACCTTTTGTTCCCGTCGGGATCTAGCGCGCCGTCCTGTCTTAACCTGTCTGCCTAAACACCACCACGTTCGCCAGAGCATACCTCTACACGAGGGAATGATTGCATAGAGGATCAAAAGAATGTAGACAGCTCTTGATTTCATCAAGATGGGCTACATGAAAGTCCAGGCTCCATGTCGAGGCTGTTCCAAGGCCCTGGTCCAGAAGGTGACGCGTCAGACCGTCAAGGGACATCATTACGCACGTATCGTACCTTTCAGGAACCTTGCGGATAAGGCAGTGGGAAAGCTGCGGGCTAGAACTAAAGTACCCGGTGTGCCGTCACTTCAACGGGGCCTCAAGTGGGTCGTCCTTGCCAGCGACGGGGTGTCTGATGGAGTTTTCGATTACGTACTCTTGTGGACTTTCTGGGGGATATAGTGTGCAGCCATCTTATCTCAAGATGATCGGGTGGTGAATTGCAGAAGATACGTTGAGTGCGGTGGCTGTAAGATCATGGTTGCTGGGTGAGGTTGACTGTCGAATATTGGAGCAGCCGGTCGCTATATTAACTCCCCAAGGAATAGCAAGAGACGTAATGGAGAGTGGCTGTCGATGTTGCGAACTCAACGGAAAGTCTGTCGTATGCCTCAAATAGACATTCCATCATTTTTCCGTGTTTTGGGGATGGCTGGAGCGATGGATCTCAGTCCGTCTGGAATTCGACTCGTATGGCTCCATGATATGGAACGTGGCTAGGAGCACTCGTGGAGCGTCATAAATGCCTCACGTGGGGTGGCCGGGGGCTCCCCTACGCTGCGAACACTGCTGGTAGCGCATCAGCAATTCTACTGAATGTGCCTTTTTTTTTACTGTTTGCTCTGCGAGCCAGCTCATTCTAATGAGGAGGGCGGTGTCGTGGCCCTCAACTTGAGTACTTTCGATTTCGACTTTGGACTGTCTTCAAGAATAGAGTCCAAAAACCCACGTTTGCCTCTGTCTGAAACACCGTAGACATAGCCTCAACAGGACGAACCCATTCACCTTCTCCACGGCGGTAGATCATCAAACAAGTTCAACCAGAGTAATCTTTTCATAGTTTCCATGGTTTCTAGATCCGTGTCATATCCACATCAGTCAGCGGCCACCCAAAGCTCTTCTGAATGGCTGCTGGATATGCACCAAACCTAATATGGATTTAGCGTCAGGGTTCTTGCCGCTGACTAATTGACTGCTCCCTTTGCTGCCTTGACACCTGATCTTTCGACGGCTGTTCAACGTCCTGGTCTGTGATCTGGAGCATACGCGTCCTTGTGCTCCTCAATTTTACGTTTGCAATGAAGAAGAAACCTTCTGTTTTGCAAATAGATGAGCAGCGACGCTAGGTGCTCGGGTCTCGAGGTTCCGATCTACCAGTGGCTCATTCCGAACATATCGATCAGGCGACGGGCCTAGGTAGGAAACCACTGCTGTTGTTCTGAGTATCGCAAGGGAGTGTTGGCGAAGTCTTCTCTCTCAGAGCTTCGTTCGCAGTGTTGTACATTACCCTCCACGACACCCAGATTGCAGTTGTAGGGGCCTGCTGCAGGCATTCCTCCACTCGCTTTACTCATGTAACACTGCGATGCTGGTGAAGTGTGACGCCGACTGAGGAGTTGGACACCGCCAGATATCTGCTTATCTTCTTACATATTGAGTGATAGAATGACCAAGCTCTAGTTTCTGTTGATAGAGATCTCACGACCATCTTCCTCAAGCGTCTATCATCAAGCAGTACTCTAAAAACGAACAAGTGCGTCGCACCTCGAGTGCCTCCCCGTGGCTCTCAACGAATTCAACACCAGCTAGGTTATCATCGACTGACAACCCAGTCCCAACTGGTACAAACACTGAACCTCCACGACCCCACGGCTCTCACACCAACCCTTCCACCGAAACCAAAGAAACCCCAGCAAAAAACAACAACATGAACAACCAGAACCCACAAGCCCCCCCTCATCTGAACTAAACGAACTACCTAACAAACCCCAGCCAAAGCCCGCACCTCCCTCTCCCGAAACAACAACCCCGCCCCAGCCTTGGGAACAATCGCCGACCGCCAGTAAAAATACCTCCGCTCGTCTTTGGCCGTCTCCACCATCTTCACCTCATACCGCAGCAGGATCTGCGCGAGCACCAGCTTCAGAAGCACCGACGCATAATACCGTCCGGGACAGGCGCGTTTGCCCAGCCCCCAGATCGGGAAGGTGACGTCTGCGTCTGTGAAATCGGAGGATGTTGCTCGTGACGTCGGGCTGGGGTTCTGGTGGTCTTCTTTGGACTTCTCGGGATCTTTGGGGATGATGAAGCGGTAAGGGTTGAAGGTGTGCGGATCGGCGTAGAGATCTGGGTCGCGGAGGATGGGCTGCAGCGGGATGCAGGCGACGTCGTTCTTCGCTAGGGTGGTTCCGTCGGTCAAGGTGAATGGTTGGAGGACTTTGCGGCGCAGGGAGATGGAATCGGTTGGGTGCAGGCGGGCGGATTCTTTGAGGAAGCTGGTGAGGAGGGGGAGGTGGTTGGGGTTGATTTCTGGTTGTTGGGTGGTGGTGGTGGTTGGTTGGGGCATAGCGGCGCGGACGACCTCGTCGCGTAGCGCAGACGTGAACTCGGGATGCAGGCAGAGGTCGTCTAGGGCATAGAAGAGACACATGGCTGGCTGGTGGACGGAGGCGAACCACACGCCTAGCAGGACCTGGATGATGCGCTGGGCCGGCCATTCGTGTTGCTGGTTCTTGCGCGCGGCCGCGTTGACGAAGAATTGGATGCAGTCTGCATGTTCCGGGGCAGTGGTGGTGGTGGTGCTGCTGTTGTTGTTGCGGATCCGCGCCTCGACGACGGGGGTGAGACGATCCAGCAGGATCTTCACCGCTCGGTGGCGGCGCATTAGATACGGCGCTGCAAAGGGCGCGACCCAGGCAGGGAGCAGGCGCAGCGCTTCGGCAGTTTCCATGAGGTGTTCGGGGTACTCGAGCGCGGCGTCGAGGAAGACCTGGTCGCTTGAGACCTCGGGCCCGAAGAAGACCAGGGCGTTGGCGGCGGTGATCAGGCGCTTGGCCATGGGGAAGATGGGCACTGCGCGCCATTCCCCAGACTGGGGCTTGTGGGCTGTGATCTCTGCGGCGAGCGCTTGGGCTATGCAGTCATGCAACGGCTGGGTTAGGGTTGGCAGGTGGGATCGCAGCTCCGCTTGCAGGGCTCGCTGGTGGACAGTCCCGTTGGCGCTCATGCAGTCGTCGTATTCGAGGCCGTTCATGGTATACTTGGGCTGGAACATCTTTTCTTGTTGAGATAGGAATTAGAAAGAGGAAGCTTGATCAACACAAAAGCAAGGAAGAAAGTCGCACAGCGACGTACGTCTTTCGCCAGAGCATGTAGGGACAGGTACGTGTCTGGCGCCTGCACCAATTGCTTGATGTGCTCCCTGGAGGAGAACTGGATTTGATATCCTTCTGGTGTGCGTACAGCATAGGGACTATCTTTGATCTGTGCATTGCGATCTTAGCATTTCTTGCGTCGTTCTCTCCCAACTCGATTACTTACGTGTGCCTTTTGTACAATTTCCGGCCCCTTCAAAAGGTATTGAAGCTGGTTAACAACCTTGAGGATATAGCTGGAAGGCTCGACAAGGACAACATTATGACGTGTCTAAGGAAAGCTATTAGCGATCTTCCTCTCTCGTCGTCGGCGACCGATGCACAGTACCGATTCTTGGGACTTGGCTCTTAATCTGCGAACACACAGCCAACAGCAGAGCAGGAGAAGCAGCACGCTCCCGAGAGAAGCAACTCTCATATTCGCCAAAATTATCGAGAACAGCATGCCGAATCCGAGACAGTTGTGCACAGCTACAAAACCACGAGGAGGAGAGGCGGCATCACTCCGCGAAAAGGTACTTACGATTACAAAAGAAGCAAGCAACGCCCCCTCCGCTACTACTCACTCACTATCTATCATATGCCTTGAACCGTGGCCTGATAACGACCGTCGATACTGCGGGGTATAGGCCTCTAATCATTTCAGCTTGTAAAAAGTACGCGTAGCGAATGCCACGCTTATGAATGCGAAGCCCTAGATGGTAGGAGCAAAGTGGACAAGCTATCATCCTCCCGTCCGGAATTAATGCCAAGTTTGGCACGGGGCCAGCACGTTCTGCAGGGGTCGGGAAGTCAATGGCTCAATGGCTCTGGTAAGCGCTTAAGGCACCCTACGCTAAAATCCAACGTGCAGAAAATACGAGGCGCAGGATTTACCTTAAGTAAGTGTTGGACTACCCCGCTCGGGGGGTTTTGTTCTCATTCGCGATCGTGGGGAGCTGCACGCACATGGCAGAACATGTTGATTGGTGCCAAGCCATAACACCAGAAACGGCCATTCTCTCGTGATCACTATAATTGGACGGTCCCCTATGGTTTCTCAGCCGCATCACAAGCAGGATTTATGTCAAAGAGATAAGCCTAGTCGCCCTCGCCCGTGGCGGCGGAATAGTCCGCATATATTGGCTGTGTTATGGTGGTGCGCGGCCAGCTCGACGTGGCGAAAGAGAGACGAGACGGTGATACCGGCTGCGCCGTGTGGGTTGACTACCTAGGTATGTACTTTCAAATCCCTATCCTGGTCTGCGCGCCGAGGACGTAAGTCGCAATGTGATAGCGCAGCAGTAGCGTGCATCCTTATCAGGAAAACCGGCTGCTCAATATAAGGGTACCCTTAAGGGAATTGGGAGGGGTAGTAGTATTCTCACCCTCCTACCTTTTACATCTGTCTCAGTACCATCTACATCATGTTGTCTGTACTTACCGATTTTGGGTTTATCCAGGATCAATTGAGCCTGTCCCATCTGGTCGGAGGTGGTGTCGTCCTTCTCGTGATCTGGCGCCTGTGGCGGTTCACCGTTCGTCCGCTGCTCAACCCTGACTCGCCGCGAGAGGTTCCCTATCTGATTCCGAGTGAGTGCTGTACATGACAGAGTGGCTGCTGCCTCGATTGCTGACCAAGGGAAATAGTTGTTGGTACGGTTGGTTCGCTCGGACCCTTTCTTGACGGCGCTAATGATTCGGCGAAAAGGCCATGCAGTCCCCATGCTAAGGAGCCCCCATGCGTTACTATCATCCGCGCTGTGAGTTGTCCATTTCAATCTTGGCATTGTATTTAGCATTACCTAAGTGATTGTCGCATCGTAGCAAGGATTGCAAGGGCAGTGGAGAACCAATTGCCGTCAATGTCTTCGGCCAGAAAATCTACTTCGTCCTGTCTGAACAAGATGCCACCGCCGTGCTTAGGGAACCACCCCAGCTGACACATACGGAGCACTTGAAGAACCTTCTCATGGGCCTTGGCTGTTCGGAATCGGGGATCTCGGAGATGGATCATGATTCCGAACCCAAGGCCCCGCCGTTGGTTCTGGTCGCAGAGGAGCTTATGAGGAAACAGCTCCTTGAAAAGTCTTTAAGCCCGGAAATCCTCGCTCGATCCTTGAAGGTCCTTGAGTCCCATATGCGGTGGGATCGACTCGAAGCGCCAACTCTCCTTCATAGCTCCGAGAATGGGCGGGAGCGGACGGTCTCGCTGTACCAGTGGGCGCAAACGGCTATCATCCACGCCGTCACGACGGCTTACTTTGGAGATGCCATCTGGGAGCTCTCGCCATACATCGTTGAGGACCTTGTGTGTTTGGAGAGCGACCTGTGGATTCTGTTATTCAAACTACCCCGACCATGCGGCAAAGAGGTCCGCGTGGCTAGGGCGAGGGTGCTGCGCTGCTTGGTGGACTACATGCGTCTGCCTCCCTCGAGCCAGCAAGATCAATCCTGGGCCGTCAGAAACTCCATCACGGAGATGCGACGCCGCGGACTGAGCGAGGATGATATGGCGTCGTATCTGCTGATGGTCCTGTGGGGGCAAGTTTCCCTCAAGCATCTTGTTATCCTCTTTCCGCTTACAGAGCTAACCCCTCCTCAGCTCCAACGCCAACGTCTTCAAACTCCCCTTCTGGCTCCTCGCGCACATCTGCACCGACCAGACCCTACTGCAAAGAGTCACCACCGAAGTCACCACCCTCTTCGCGCAGAGCACCGCCGCCAACGAACCGCTGCCCACCCTCGCCCTGCGCCTCGAGCAGAACCCCCTCCTCTCCGCCCTCTACAACGAAACCCAGCGACTGACCATGAACTCCAGCTCCGCGCGCAGCGTCGAGAAGCCTCTCACCATCAACGGCCGGACCTTCCAAGCCGGCGCGCACCTGCTCGTGCCCTACCGCCAGCTCGCCATGTCGCACCCCGTGCTCGGGCGGGACTGGGATCGATTCCTGCCGGAGCGGTTCCTCGACCACCCGGGTCTGGCCCAGAGTAAGAGTTTCCTGCCGTTTGGCGCGGGGAAGCACAAGTGTGTGGGGCGGTATCTGAGCAAGCGACTGTCGCTGACGTTTGTTGCGCTGGTGGTGCATCGCTTCCATGTCGTGGGGGCGCTGGACGGCGTTCCGGCGGTAGGGTTCACCCCGGTCTCGTCGGGGCCCGGCGGGCCTGTGAAAGGCGGGGATGTGCGGGTCGTGGTTTCGCCCAAAGAGGACGGGTTATCGCATGAGGAGAAATGAGGTTGTTTGTTAGCTGGAGATAGATAGCTTACGCTGTGTGATTAGAGGAATTTTCTCTGGTGCTATCTATTTTCGGAGATACTTAGTGCGGTGGGCATTGTCCGAGTGTGTTATGGTATTGCGTGAGTTCACTATCATCCTTCCCGGTCCAGCGGGGAGGAGGAGGTTGGGCCAGAAAAACAGCACAAGGTGGCTGAAGATAAGCGGGGCTCCTAACTGCCGGAGCGACAAGCACCACAGAGAGCGGGACAGAACGGGTAATGTCCCCGCGAGAAGTTCTGTAGGAAGACCGAAGAAAATCAAAACGGCAGCTGAGGCCGAGATTCGCTGACTGGTTCGCTCGTTTGGCGAGGTGCAGGAATGCACCTCATAGTGATTAGAGTAGTATGGATTTGCTGGGTGAGGGATGCCGCACTGAGGGGTTCTTCCTGCAGCCACGCTCTTGGCACGAGAGTCATTCGCTGGCCATGCAGCTGAGCACTGCACTGCAACATGCACTACGACTGCACTACGACTGCACTACGACTGCACTACGACTGCACTACAACTGCACTGTATATTAAGCCTAAGCCTCAAGACTCATCCCAAGCCTTGCAAGCCAGCAAAACAGCCTGAATTAGTCGGCTGGCGAAGTTTTTGGACCCCAACGGTCAGCATCTACCCTCCATCAGGCCTCCCAGATTCTCTGGTGCAGTGTGCAGTATTATCACAAGTTTCGGCCCATGATGGATTCGACAGAGGCTGACTTGCATAACGACCGCACGGTTCGTCGAGCTTGGTGTGCTTTTCGCCCGTGCTGATCTGGCTCGTCCCCCACCCTGCCTCAATCCTTCAGCTGTCACGACGATGTCTGATGAAAGGGAAATGGTCTTTAAAAATCCAAGAACCCTTCCCGCCAGACCGTAAGGTCTGCTGCTCTACTGAGCAACCTGTTCCAGTGTTCTGGCCATGGATTATTACAACACGCCAGCCGTCGCACCGCCAGCCGGGGTGGTCTCCAACTTCGTCAACCCGCCATCCCAGCGGACGACGATCATCGTGCTGCAGTCGATTTTCCTGTTTCTGGCGCTATTGGCGGTGTCCGCCCGCGTCTGGGTGCGGACATGTATTATCAAATTCTGGGGCGCCGAAGACAGTGAGTTGCCCCTCTCCACGCCGTCCAGATATGGGGGTTTGCTAAGAACGACAAAACATGTAGCAACTTGCATCCTTGCGGTAGTAAGTCGATTTGACCGATCTCGCTATCGCCCAGTGCAGGATGCTAAGTCACACAGTGCGGCTCGATCGCGCATATGACGCTCTACACGCAGAGTGAGATTTACCTCTCTCTCTCTCTCTCACATGCCGTAGTAGCCCTAAGCTAAACACCCGCGCACCATAGCCCTACCTTTAGGCATCGGACGACACATGTGGGACGTGCGAGCCATCAACCTCATCGATCCCTCCTCGACCCGTGTACGTCTTGATCACCCCAAGCCCCTCAAAACAGCCCAAAAAATCTAAACCAAAAAAAAAAAACTACAGGTCCTCGACGCAGGCGGCATCACCTTCCCATGGACGGTCTGCTTCGCCAAGATCTCGATTCTACTGCTGTATAAGCGCTTGTTCCCGCTCCACCGCGAGATCGTCGCCGTCTGGATCGGCATTGTCGCCGACGCGGTGCTCTACACGTTTTGTATCGCCATCGCCATCGGCAGCCTGGTGCAGTGCGCGGAGCTGTCGCAGCTGGAGGCCCCTTACTGCAAGTTCACCTCCGGGACGATGATCACGATCCAGTCGGTGATCAACGTGGTGACGGACTTCTACGTGCTGCTGCTGCCCATCCCGCGGCTGCTGAAGCTGCAGGTCAGTCGGCGGCGGCGGATCGGGCTGCTGGTGACGTTCATGAGTGGGCTTGGGTGAGTTAGACCCACAGTTATCTTCTAGTGATGATGTTGATCTTGAGCACTGACTCGATGTTGGATGACCGGACAGAGCCTGCGCGGCTAGCCTGGCGCGGCTGGTGAATTTCCAGCTGAATGATAACTCGGATGTGTTTTGGGTAACGGGGCGGAATGCTGAGTTTACGTACGTGCTCATCCCGTACAATAATCAATATCGACAGAAGGGTAGGGAGCTAATCCCGGTGTCATGCAGAATCGTCGAGATGAACATCGCCATCATCGTCGCCTGCGCCACCTCCTTCCCCATGTGCTTCGCGCGCCTCCGCTCCCTCACCTCCTCCTTCTACAACTCGGCCGTCTCCCTGCTCCAGAGCGGCAGCCGGGAGACGCCCAAGGTCAGCGAGACGGGGGACGCCGGGGTGCGGAGCCACCTCTCGAGTAAACGGCGGCCGGGGACCCAGAATTGGGAGCGGCTGAAGAATGGCAAGGGGGATGGGCGGATGGACTCGCAGGAGCTGGAGTTTTTGACGGACAATTCGGTTTAGCTGGTTGCCATGCGGAGAGGAGGAGAGGAGGGATTTTTTTTTTCATTAACTACTACTTTTAGAACATACTAAGTAGCTACGTAGTCTCTTACGGTCAACCGGGGTCTTGTCTGATAGAGACGATTGATTGGGACAGTAATTAGGGCTGAGTAAGCACAATGCTAACTAGTTAAGTTACCACCGGGACTTAAGTATAGTAAAGTCAAGTAAGACGAGGCAAATGACAAGGGTCGTATCGTAGCCCCCTGATAGGTGTGTCTCATGCAGGGATACAGTATACTACATCCCGCAGGTGGTGTACTTCCACTTATTCTGAATCCAGTTAAGCCGACAGCTGCTTAGCGTACAGCGTTTCTTTGTCAACGTGAACGTGCTCGTGCTCTTCCACAATAAAAACAAGCACTTTTCCCCTTTCCCCTCAGCTCCCTACTCCTAAACTCAAACCTTCTCCCGCTCAACCTCTTCTCCCCTTTTCTCCATTAACCCTAACTCAAATCTAAGAAATATGTCTACCCTCAGCCCCGTTCTGATCACCGGCGGCAACGGCTTCATCGCCTACCACATCATCGCCAAGATCCTCGAGAGTGAACCCGAGTGCACCATCCACTCCATCGATGTGAACACGCAGCGCAACCGCCACGCCGGCGCCAACGTGCACTACCACCACGGCGACATGGCGAGCGCGGCCGACGTGCACCGGATCATGCAGCTGGCCCGCCCCGCGACCATCTTCCACACCGCCTCGCCCGAGTTCTCCGACGAGCCCGAGTCCGCCTACCGGGGCATCATCGTGGACGGCACGCACCACCTCCTCGCCGCCGCATGGGAGGTGGGCACCGTGCGCGCCATCGTCAACACCTCGACGTCGGGCGTCATCAACGACAACCACACCGACCTGGTCGACGCGACCGAAGACCTGCCCGTCCTACGCCCGCCCGTCCAGCAGCGCCTGTACTGCATCGCCAAAGCAGACGCCGAGGACGCGATCCAAGCCGCCAACCGCACCTCCGCTCCCACCTCCGCGACCGGGGCCGATGACCACGGCATCCTGACCTGTGCGATCCGCCCGGCCCTCGCCTTCGGCGAACGCGACCACGGCACCCTCGGCAAGATGTACGCGGTCGCGCGGCAGGGCAAACTGCGGTTCCAGATGGGCGACGGCCGCAACCTGTACGACTTCGTGTACGTGGGCAACCTCGCCGAGGCGCATCTCCTGGCTGCCCGGGGGTTGCTGGCCGCGTGGGGGAAGCCCGCCCCGGCTGAAGGAAAAGTGGACGGGGAGTGTTTCCACATCACCAATGAGGATCCCTGGCTATTCTGGGATTTCCAGCGCGAGGTGTCAAGGTTGGTTGGGAGACCGGTAAAGAAGGAGGATGTGGTCGTTATTCCCAAGTGGGTGGGGTTGACGATTGGGTTTGTGAATGAGTGGGTTGCCTGGGTGGTTTCTGCTGGTACCAAAAAGGCGAATATGACGCGGGAGGGGATACGGTTCAGTACGTTGGTCAGGACGTTGAATGGAGGGAAGGCGAGGAGGGTGTTGGGGTATTCTCCGAGGGTGGGGGTGAGGGAAGGGTTGGAGAGGAGTGTGAGGTGGTTTATGGAGAATGAGGGGGGGGCGGCCGGGGGCGAGAAGGAGGATTAAGGCCCCGGGGGTTTGGGGTGTGGTGGTTTGTTGATCCAATCCAATCCAATCCAATTCAATTCAATTCAAGTTTTATTTACCCAGGGAACCCTCGTGAGAGGACTCAGTACGCCTATTGCGGCATGCTACGAAGGTGCTTCCATCAAGAAGCCAGGAACTTAAGCGGTTCACTGTGTATACACCCGAATGCCCTCAATAACCCACGCATACATCCACGCAACGTATATCCCTCGCAAACATACGAAATAACAGCTTTGCGGCCGTTCGTGGTCCTTTTGTATGTGCTGTATGGCGTGCACCATCTCGTGACTCAGGGGGTTGGCTGTTCTCAGTTTACACAGCGTCTTCGGCGCCAATACCCACTGCCCGTAGGCCTATCGGTTTGTTGCTTGCGGGGTCCTCGACCACACCGACGCGGTTGAATTGGCCTGAGCAAGCTTGTGGTGGCTGTGGGGGTTTGTTGAGGTACCTGTAGTACATGGTGCAGGCTTAACAGATGATGTAGCATGATGTTTGCAGTTCGTGGATTCTACATAGTACTACTATGTCATACTGACAGCGAGCATGACGGTCAGGGTATGTGGCGATGATGAACTTGGTGTGATTGTGTAACTTACATCGCGGATATGTGATACATAAAGTATGTCCCAGTCCAGAGCACTACAGCATCTGACGAACCTGCGTGCTTGGCTATGCCATGAGCCGGATAGGGTATCTGTGCATGCACTTCGGGAAGGATCCACCACTGTGACAGGATTCCCGCTCCACCCCTTGCATGTATGCATGTTACACAGTCAAGAACCCCGTACGTCATGATGGGAAGCATTATTTCTAGGACTGGTAGAGCTTCATGTCATGCATTATCATTCTATACTATATTAGCCCCTAGAGACGCCTTGGGAGTACCCCTAGCAAATATGCATCTCATGTCGGCCCTTCAAGTGATATGTACTAGTACCCTGCAATACTAAACACAACGATCGTCATCCCCTACCACAAAAGCTCAACTCCGTCACAATCAAAATGACCAAAGACTCAACCCAAACTACAAACAGGCACGCATATACTCCTCCCAAGACAGACATCCACTAACCCACCCTCCAGCACCCCGGAATCCCAATTCTGGGCCCTAACCAAGCATCCCAAACAGCTGACACCCGACAATCTCACCGCCGTCTTCGACAAGCTCCAGCCCATCGCCCCCGAAAAGCTTATTGGCAGCCGATGGAGAGGCTACATCTTCCACAGCGGCCACCCGGCCGAGAAGCTATTGACGGACGACCTCAGATTCGCGGGGAAGGATTTTGTCTCCTTGAATGAGGTGAGTCTCATGGTGTTAGACGAGGAGGGGAACTGGTCCAAGTCGGAGGAGTGGGGAAATTCGAGGGTATGTATTGTGATTCCTGATCACAGGCGCGAGTGACTGTAGTTTCTTTCAGACGAGGGAAGCTGATGTCGAGGATAGCTGCGCGAAGTCAAGTTCCGAGAGGTGATTTCGGCCGCCTTGATCCGTGATACCAAGCCTTGCATCGATCATTGGAGGGGTGTGTCGGATGATGTGGTGATGCTGGCGTTGGAAGACGATGGGAGCTTGACGCAGGGGGCGGGACCGTTGTTTGGGTATATGATTAGGGTTGTGTTGGAGTAGGGAGATTTGCTGTTGCTGTGGGAGTTGGTATCTTCTGGTTGCGACTTTCTCGATGTTAGAGCTGATTTGTTAATGCTGGGATCAGGCAGGTCCATGTTGGGGTTGCACTTGCTCATGCCATCATCGTACCTAATGTGAGGGTCTTCTGCAAAGGCCGTGTGGCAATTTTAGGTGGTTTCCATGTCCTTTGAGGGAGACTGAGTCGGCTTCAGACATGAGACATTGCCATTAGACAAACCAAGGGGCATACAAGTCCACTGCAGGGCATGCTTATCAGATTGCCCTAAGCCCAAAGCAGATCGATTTCGAATTAAGCTCGGAGGGTCAGTTCGGCCCCGACTCGGGCCAGGGAGTTATCGTCCTAATCAGGAAATCCCCGAGTCACTCCACCGACTCGACAATGTATACAGGAAATATATCTAGTGTAGTCTCTCGGATCTCTTCCTACCTTGTTATAGGATGAAACAATCTGTCTTCTATCTATATTGTTATTTAGACCCTAAGTTGAGTCTGTTATTATCATGTCCGACGTTGAGAAGAATAGCATGTCCACGGACAACACTCCGAAGGAAGAGACAAGCCCTCCCAAGCCCCCCAGCTACCCAGAAGGAGGCGTAAAGGCGTGGCTAGCAGTTCTGTCTTGCTGGTGTGTGATGTTCAACACATTCGGTTACATCAATGCATTCGGGTATGTCTTGCCCCCTCATGTCAACCCTGCTTCGGAGTTAACCGAGCCCCAGAATCTACGAAGCATACTACCAAAGCACATTCCTCAAGAATGAGAGCGCCTCCAACATCGCCTGGATCGGCTCCCTACAAGCCTTCTTCATGTTCTCAGCAGGCCTCATCTCGGGTCCGTTGATGGATCGCTACGGTCCTAGAGTACGTCCACAGCCAGCCCTAATCCCTCAACACAGCTAACACCCTTTCTCAAACAGATAATCCTAATCCCATGCTCCCTCCTCTTCATCCTCTCGGTCATGCTCACCAGCCTCTGCACGGAGTACTACCAATTCCTCCTAGCCCAAGGCATCCTCGGCGGCCTGATGAACGGCCTAACCTACACCCCGACCCTAACAGCAGTAAACCAATACTTCCTGCGACGCCGCCCGCTAGCCATGGGGATCGCCTCCTCGGGCTCCTCCTTCGCAGGCGTCGTCCTCCCCATCGCACTCAACCGCATGCTCCACGACTCTCCGCTCGGATTCGGCTGGACCGTCCGGATCATCGGCTTCCTCATGCTAGCGCTCAGCCTCGTGGCCTGCGCATGCGTCTCCTCACCCGCCGCGCCGCGCCGAACGGGCGCCCCCTTCCTCCAAGAGGCCTGGCACCACCCCGCCTACACCCTGCAAGTCCTCGGCCTGTTCCTCATCATGTGGGCCCTCTTCACCCCCTTCTTCTACGTCCCGGACTACGCACACTCCATCTTAAACCTGAATATCAACCTCTCCAGCTACCTGGTCTCCATCATGAACGCCGGCTCCTTTGCCGGCCGCCTCCTCACGGGGGCCTTCGCCAACCGCTTCGGCCGGTTCAACGGCCTGGTCCTGGCGTCGGCCGTCTCCGGGGTGCTGATCCTCTGCTGGCTGGCCGTGGATTCCCAGGGCAGCATGATTGCTTTTTGCCTGTTGTTCGGGTTCTTTTCGGGCTCGGTGATCGGGCTGTTCACGGCGACGCTGGCGATGACGGCCCCGCGGCCGAATGTGATTGGCTCGTATATGGGGATGGCGTTGGGGGTGCTGAGTCTGGCGTGTTTGACGGGGACGCCGATCACGGGCGCGATGGTCAATCGGTATGGCGGCTTTGAGGCCGCTATTATTTTTGCGGGCGTGTGTGCGTTGGTTGGGGCCGGGGTTGTTGCGGTCGCGAGGGTAAGGTTTGCCGGGTGGGTGGGGGTTGCTTAGGCTGGGGGGTGCAATATGTTGTGGAAAAGGTGTGTGGTGTAAATTGTGTATGACTAGAGATTGTGTTGGAGTTATGGCTTTATCCCCTTTCTATCTCTCTCTCTGTGTTGCCTGTTTTCTCGGTCAAGTCTTCTTGTTTGAGGTACTTACTGGGGCTCTGTATTTGTCTGATTCTTGTTAGACATTAGACTTGATGGGCTAACGCTCACATAAATGGTGTATGAAACACAATAGAGACATCAGCGGAAAGGGAAAAAACATGCAAAATCACAGACAAAGTGCAAACGAGATAAGAGAGAAGTCAACCATGCGTATAGCATGGGAATATCGATTTTCGGAGTAAGCGATGCAATGTGATTTGATTACAGGTGTCTAATTATAGCCGCAGTGATTTGCAAAATGTGAGTATTAGTTGGTCCATGTTTACTCATTCCACGTGAGAAACAATAGATGTACTGTACACACATCACTCTCTTTATGCCGGATTCCGAGTGGAGTAGGGGTCGAGGAGATTCAGACGATCAATCTATTCTCGATTTTTAGGAAAGTCAAAATAGTCTCAATCTTTGGATAAGCTATAGCTACTCATTTTGAAAGTTTAACTTAATTTTCATAGCTGTTTTCAATCCTACTACGAAGATAGTCTCTGAGATAGTTTAGATTGTGTCGTTTTGCATTAGCCTTTTCTGAATTATTCTAGTACAATTATTCAGCACTTACTAAATTGAGAGTGTACTTAAGAAAGCATAGACGGTAGTTTGTATGTAGAAATGTTTCAATGTTTCAAGACAGTAGGGCTGCATAAGGCATTCATAATCATAGTGGTGAAAATATTCAAATCAAATCAAATCAATTTCATTCCAGTTCTCTTGGCCCAAGGAGCCCTCGTGGAGAACTCAGCCCGCCTATTGCGGTATGCTATAAAGGTGCTTTATTAGGAAGCTAAGAACTCAGCTGGTTCGCCGTATACACCCACATCGGCAGAAAGAATGTACTGTTCGACGAGAACTGCTGCAATCAGGCTGCAGTAGCTTGATAGAGAAAGAGCGCCAATGGTTTTGCTTGTCCTGTACCCTTTGCAGACATACAATCACTGATGAACCGGGAAAGAAAGCAACAATTGAACTTGGGGAAGGAAGAGCTGAGAGTTTACAAATCCCCCTTCTTCGCCCTCTTGACCATTTTCACTCTCTGCACACTACTCTAGTCTATTGCATCGCTATCATTCCAGCTACTATCCTCCACATTCTATCGATATTCTCTCATCCTACCGTCACTCGTTCTACCCAACATTTCCTGACCGAATTATCTCACTTACCGCTCAGCCCCCTTCAGTGTTGACCCAATATTTAGGAGCCTTACCTATCCAAGCAAAATGCCGAGGCGTAACAGCTCCATCACCGTCGGCTCCAGTATAACCGGCAACACGACCCCTATCAAGGTAGACCATGCTACCTCCACCACAGACGATCGCAAGAACAAGCCATGGAAGAGATACGATCTTCTCGCGCAAGGCTTCTGCGAGCTGGCCGCGGCCGAGAAGGAAGAGTTCCAAGAACTGGTGACTAAGGATCGCGAAGTCCATTCGGTCGACGACCTCACCGACTGGCACGAATACTACCTGGAAATGCTAGGGGTCAGCAGTACCGACGACGATCCTAGTTTCTACCGTGCGAGCACAGGGGCAGAGATACCCCCCGTGGCGCGGGACTTGCTCAATGCTCCGTCCGCTTTCTCCGGCTTCGACTACGCAAACTCAGACTGGGAGCTCTCGCGTTCAGTGTACGCTGCAGGGCTTTTCACAGCCTCGATCAAAGGGCCCCTCACGGCGAGCCCGTCCGCGTACCCCACCCTCGTCACCATGGTTCATTGCATTGTGAATGAGATAAATCGTGAAGACGCAGCCGTTACCGGGAATGCAAACGCCAACGCCACCGCCAACGCCAACGCAGCGGCCACAAATTCAGAGCCCGCAGCAGCAGGGCCCAGCAGGCAAGATGACGGTCAGCCACCCCCGCCACCGTTACGGCCACCACCGCCCACGCCACCACGCCCTACTGCAGGTCCAGCACCCTCTCGCTCTCGCCTCCGCGTGGCACCAAACCACCACCCCAAGATTACCCACTATCGGCCCGCTCACAACCGCCTAGACGTTTACGAGGCCCGGTGCGATCTGGCTGTGCTGAGTGGCCTGGAGCCACACGTGCACTGCGGCATTCTAGGGCGAGGGCGTGCATGGGACCAAAACAGCGATGGTGCCCTGGAGGTGATGCAGACCTTTTTGGCCCTCTGCCAGGAAGAAAGAGCGACGCCGTACGGGCCGCCTGCGGCCTTTCCATGGTATCGTCACGAGTGGGTTCAGCGTGTGTCTCTGCGAGATGACCGAGCAGCGCGAGTTTCGCGACACCGCATTCCGAGATACATTGCCAGCACCGCACCGCCGGGACGAAGGACGCGACGGGCACGGCGTCGTTTCATTCGCCACAACACGGCTTTACCACAACATCAAGCGTATGCTGAGTATGACGGAGCGGTATCCAGATCCTCCAGAGGACACTGGTCGGGGACGGCGGCGCACGCGGCTCAGATCGAACGCCATGTCGAAAGGGAAAGAGCGTGCTTCCACTGACGGTGCTTGAAGCTAGTGAAGTGGGGGTACGATTAATGTTCGTCTCGGTCTTCCTTGTGTCGTCTATCATTGCAGGGCGTTTATCTATTATTCCTGCTGAGGCAGGGCTATTAGTGTAACTTGAGAATAAGAACCCTTTGTGTTCCTTCTGTAAGAATAAAGACTTTACTGTGTTACGACCACACCTCTTTGACAAGAAGTGATATACAGTCAATGTAATACTTAAACCTAGTATACACCGGCCTCTACTCGCTTGAAAGCCTGATAAAGAAGTGGATGACACCTACGAGAGAGGTAGAAGAAAAACGACGCATGCATTTAATCGACATCGATGGAAAAGGACTCGATATAGCGACAATCCGCGTTTTTTTTTTTTGTGGTGCTGTTGATACGGTGGTCGTGGCCGACGGTGGGAAGCCTACATGCCTTACCGCCGCCCCAAAAGACCTGATATAAGGCTTTAAAACAGCTTAAAGAGGAAGAGGCTTATAGAGATTGATGGACGCAATGTGCTTTTGATGAAGAATGCTTACGAAGAGCGAGGGCTTATGCCTGATGAAATCTGCGAGAGAAGTGGAAGATGCTTGACTTCTAACTACGTTAGGCTATCTGCAAGGAACTAGCTAAGGCCCCCAAGGTGGGTGGTAAGAGGCAGCCTGGCTAGGCCGCAGGGCCGTTGTTAGGAAGAAATAAACTATACCCAGTGTCTGGGTGAATTCTCGCGTGGGTGAAATTGACAGGGATCTATCAACAACTACATCCTACAATAACCACATACTCTATGACATCTACGTCGCTTATTCTAAGCATAGCATCGAGACCCCCGTGGAATCTGTACTGTGGCTTTTCTCTTATCCTGCCTTTAATTAACTCTTGATTTTTTCATGATTTGCTGAAAATAGCTCACCCTACAGCATATTTTTCGTTAACAAGAGATTCAAAATGATATCTAGCAGCAGACACAGTTTTAAGGAAATTGGCTACTGAGAGAGAGGTAATGAACCCATAAATCTCATAAAATTTTTATTTATCTACAAGACACAATCTAAACGTTTCCACTACTTACACTTGACCCCCCATTCCAGCCCAGCTCAGCCCTAATCCCACGATCATACCACCCACCACCCACCACCCCCCACGCTATTCCGAGCACCTCAGCAAGTACCACCCCGTGATCCTTCCCCGTCCAGTCCATCCGAACCGTCTAGTCAAACACGCAACCCCCGGGAATCAAATCGCATACGATGATACGAGTAAAAGTACGTCTCCACTCCCGGAGAACCAGATCCGATCTCCGATCCCGAATCCACCGCATGATTACATCGCATCGCATGGCGGGAGGACATCACATGATCCGGGGATGGATAAGCGAGCTGCGGCGACGGCGGCCTAAGGTTCCGCTTCAGTCGCTTCCCCTTCCCTTCCCGGGGTAACCGGAATTTAGCTCGGAGGGCTGGGCTAGGCCGGAAGAGCATCATCCATGGGCTGATCAACGTTGATTCCGGTACAGTAGTTCAGTCTTGTGTTCCCGGATCGTACTTGTGAATGAAACTACTCGGTTCGGTGCGATGTGATTGTCGTTTTCACCACCGACATTGATTCACCGCCTTTCGTCTCTCTTGTACCACTTTCTATACAGGTATGATCTGAGCCTTATTAGCAAATGAACTCAGACAACGGGATAAAACCGGCAGATCTGAGATTATTAATCAAGCCTCTACGGACGACTGTAACTGACCTCACTGAGTACAGTTCTGACATTGCAACTTACCCACTTCCTCCTACCTATGCAGACCTACAAATTACATTTAGTTGGACTATGATTTTGTAGGTGCCACCCGACTGTACTGAGCAAGTCTAGAAACAGCAATTCTAGACGACACGACATCCAGCCCCCGACCTATATCCGAGACTATCGCAACAATAAGGTTATGAACAGCCACAAAGGATCGAGATTCGGGGGGAAACGGACATTTCGAGAAGCGTGATCAACCGCAAGATTGAGACTTTGTTGAGATTGTGAATAATGGAGGTACAGGATGAAGGATCGATAGTGCGAATCCCCCTCGGATCCTTTTGTTGCTTGACACTTAAGGTAATGTACAGAAATTGATTCTGAGCTGGGAACTAACTGAGTAACTTACTGAGTTGACATTTGAGTTTGGTTTTGGGTTTCGGGCACGGGAGATGATCCCTCGCTAGTTCATCGGTACCAAGCCTATAAACCGGGAGAAAACTGGAGGGTTTCATGATGGGAGGTGTATGATTCGGCGGGGGAGGGGGGAATTGTGTTTATTGTGGTCATGACGTTCGAGGGTCGTACATAGTTGAGGTCTCTCAGATTGTAAGTGGATCTCTGCCACCATCCTCTTGACCGCTCTCATACCTTATAGCTTTGCCGCTTCCTTTATAGGAAAGTCATGAAGCCTTCCAGCAAATGATATTTGCGGGTTGGAATCAGACCGGCAGATCGGGAATCACTTCATCAGGACTCCACTCACATTTTCAAAGGGTAATACTATGTACAGTCTACCTCATTCCTTGACTCCCACCCAACTACCTATGAAAGGTTAGAGGGGCTTGTACATAGTAGTATGCTCGGTTAGATACCCAATGTACGGGGGTATCGTTTCTTGGTTGAGGTTGCGAGTGGGGAAGAGGCCGGATCGGGTTTTGTGCTCTCTTTCCTCTTTGGGGGCTGGGGCTGGGGATGGGGATGGGTTGCTGTGGATTCACCCTGTAGTTGTACTAGGTATTACTGTCTAATCTAGTGTCTACCGGGCGTTGTCTGTCTTTTCAGACCGCTGTTTCGTGGACTTTACAATTAGACTACAGAGGACTTTGTGTGAGATGAGACGGATGCAGCTGGTGGAATTGAGGAAGTAAACCATTCACTCGAAGATTCAATCGATGTGATAGATATCGGGGAGCTTAGTTGTAATGCAAAGTTTGGAAACTTCCATGTTGTAGAGATTTACCATCTAGTTCATCAGAGCCTGAATATTCCTTGAATTGAAGAAAGCCTTTCCGTGGAGTTCCGGGAAACGATTCGATAAGCTTACTGCATGGCTCATAGGGCGTAAGCATGGTACTTAGGTCTACTCCGTATGCAGTAAGCAAACTGGAAAATACACACTCGCCGATTGGAGGAAGACAGGCTCATGAACATGCATGCTTAGGAGAGCAGGGATGCACTGCAGTGAGCTTCCCTGGTTGAACTACCACCACCTAATCTAACTTACCAGTAACATACCATCAACTTAGGCAGCAACTATGCTGATCAGGGCAACCACCACGATTCATGCATGCATGCAAGCCACTGCATGCACCTTGTCAGCGACTCCCACCTTAGCAGGCACCAGGATCAGATCCTACAGGATGATGGCGTGCACAGAGAGTACCAACAAAAAAAAAGGTAGAGATCGAATCCATCGTTCGATCTGCAAACTTTTTGTTTGTCCCTCGGAGAACCCCGTGGGATCCTTGCCATCCTCCCCAAGTGGAGTCCATAATCATCCTTCTCCCACGATCTCGAAACACTAAATCTCGCTGTCGCATGCACGAGACTCAATAGCCGGAGCCCGGTGAAAATATTGACGGGCGATGACGGTCTCCAGAACTAGACCACTTTAGTGCTTCCGAGCACTGAGCAAGAAGGGGTTAGCGGATGCGCTATCGGGAGCTATCGATTTCATCCGTTGGACCAGGCCAGGGGGAAAATCCAAAAGAAAAAAATAAAAAAAATAGATTAATCTCCGAGAACGGCCGCCGGGAGACGGAAACCGTTGCGGATACCGCTCGGGATTTGGTGGGGATTCCCTTTCCACTTTCTTCCCGGAAACCTGGCAGAATAGATGAAGAAATAGATTGTGCCTTGGTCAATGGATGAGAAGCAGAACCCGGAAGTGTCATGGTGTATAAGCGAGATTAGTATATATGAGGAAAAAAAGTAATAGTAGCCACGAAAGAAAGTGCCAGGCAGATAATAAAAAAAAAAGCAAAATGGTCGGCCGAGACTAACAAAATCCATAGCCCCGCCAACACTTCAAGCCTAGCGTTCTTTTTGACAACAATTGTATCGATGCAAAGTATCCCAGTTCGTATTCTCGTAACCAAACCCATCCATCCCATAGACCCGGAACCCAAACCAACCGAAACACCGCCCATGCAAATAGTCTAAAGGAAATCTCGTTCCGACGAGTAGAGAGATGAAGATTGGTCGCTGAGCATTCCCGGAATCGCAACCTTGGTGGCATCGAATTCCCAGGCCGCCTCGCGCGAGTCTTTTGCATTGCGGACCTGCATCGGATAGGTCCACTCCTTCAGTCGGCCTTCCAGGAACCCCATGTCGCGGTTCTTCTCCCACATGCGACGGGACACTTGGAACGCCGCGTTCACCGTGCCCCGACGCAGATCCTCGTAGGCCTTGAACGCCACGGTCAAGGGATCATACCGGTGCTTGGCGAGAATCCGAGAGAAGAGGATAGCATCATCCAGCGCATACGCCGCTGACTCGTCACGGGGGGGCATCTAGTCAAATCAGTACTCGAATCACAAGTCATCTCACGATGGCAACATACCGCATGAGCTGCATCACCCAGAAGAATCACTCGGCCCCGGTACCACCGGGCATTAGGCCGTACTTGCCAGACAGGATACAACATCCAGTCGTCCGCTTTGTTAACGAAGTCCCGGATACAAGGTACTCCGGATCGACCGAAGCGGTCTTGCATCTCTTGGCGCAGAGCTTGCTTGATCGCAGCAGTCCGCCGCCAGTCCTGGCCAGGGTCCATGCGGTAGTGAGGAAGCAGTTCCTCGCGGAACTGAACAATAGCGGCCAAGAAGATCTGCTCGTGGTCCCGGTCACAGTAGCTGGCTAATAGCGAACCATGTCGAGAGATGTTCATGGATGTGGAGCGGAAATGAACAGGGGCTTTAATCTTTTTGGTGTCAACGAGAGTCTGACAGAAGGAGATGCCAGTATACTCGGATGGACTGTCGGGGTCAACCCAGTACATTCGAGTCGCCGAGTGCACACCGTCGCAGCCGAGAACCAAGTCCCCTGTGGCTGTGGTTCCGTCATGAAAGTAAAGCATGGCTTTGTCTTTTGTTTCCTTCCCCCGAACCAGCTTCTTGCCGAACACAACGTTCACATTCTTGGATCGTTCAACGACCGTTAACATGGCTACCGAGAGAGCAATCCGCATCACACGGCGACCCTTATATCCTCCGAACCCATTGCCATGTTCATCCACAAAGTCAACCGAGCCGAGGGATCGTCCGGACCGACTAGAATATAGCTCGATAGCATCCACATCAGTACCACCTTCAGGTCCAAGCCTGTCCAGCTCTGCTAGCACCCCAAGACGATCGAGATGCCGCTGGGCGACGGGGGTGAGGTTGATGGCACCACCCGAGGTGGAGAGAATATCGTGTCGTTCATAGACAGTGATGCGGAGGTCGGGAACGAAGGGTGTCAGTTCTTTGGAAAGAGCCAGGGCAGCGGCAATGCCCGCAATGCCGGCGCCAACAACGAGGATGTCGCGGGGGACGGGGTCGCTCTCTTCGGTTGGGGGTGCTCTGTCGACGTAATTCCAGAAACTAGCCCAGTCCTTCCCCGCGGAAGGCGGCGGGGTCGCTTCATATCCGACATCCATCGTGATGTAGCTTCGGTAAGGCTCTAAAGTGCTTCAACAATGCAGAGAGATAGTATACATAGAGCGGCAAGGAAAGCGGTTATATAAGGAGTGTGGTACGCAAATCGATTATCCAGAACCGAGGAGATTAGAGGGCAGGAGCCAGATAAAAGGAAAGAATTCTTTGCAAAAAAAGCTTTGGGGGCGAGATACATCGGCCACCGATACCTAGGGGCAAAAGGCACAGGAGACCAAAAGATTTATATATAGACCAATAAGACCGGTGCATCAGCGATGGTTTGGGAGAGCCATCGAGGAGGGGACATGTTCGGCCGGAAAATGGAGAGTGTTCGGAAGTTGGCCCTGGCATCCAGTTTCGAGACAGCCAAAATTTGGCAATTGGGAAAAATTTGTCTGCAGGAATCCACACCTCACAGGCCTCATAGGCCTCATAGGCTAGGACTGCCCCAAACCCGATGAGCTACGACTTCCGCCGGCGCCAGGCCTTTATCCGCAGCTCCACCCGACTGCCCGACGAGCAGTCAACCCGAGACGTCATAGGTCGGAAGCCAGCAGCTGTCAGTGACTGAACTTTATTAGTTCCATGGTAGGAACGCTGGATCATTCCATAGTAGCCGTTGTGGCCCGCTCGGTACTCGTAAAAAACCTTGGGACGCTGGGCGGAAGAGGAAGATGGAAAGGAGCTCGATGGCTAGGTCAGACCGAGGCTCTGTGACCCAGCAGTTGGTCCGTGTGGCAGTTTTTGAGATTAACATTGATGGGGAAGCGAGTTCATTTGATCAGGATTCAGGAGAGACTCGATTGACGCAGGCTGCACTGGGGTTTGCTCTTCGTTGCCCCCTCCTCCTGTTGATTTTTGTTTTCTTTTTTGATGCAGTGTGTTTTGAGGCCAAGCCACTAGTCGTGACTAAGCAGGGGTCTTTTTTTCCCTTTCCTTGTACGTCTGGCCGCAGCAATCTGCACACGCAGTTTCTGATGAATTTTCAGCAGCTTCGAGGGCTGAATAAGACATTCCGGACAAATCTGCCGATCCCATCATGGAGCTCCGACCGGGATCAATCCTTGCTCTTCCTCAAGCCCAATCTTCTCCTCAACCAGGCCGGGTCCAGCGACCCGGTCGGCGGTCGCGCGCCCCCTTGATCCCGATTAAGATTTCTTCTGCGCATCACTGCAGATACTGTTCCACGACAATGAACGGTGGTCCCCAACCATGTGGTTTTCTTCGGGAGGTGTCCATCGTTCTGCGTTTGTCGACATCAATCCGAAATGATCAGGATGGTCTCGACTCCGCTTCGAGATCCAGCGAAGATGGGTATTCTCCCCTCCTTCCTCCCCTCCTTCCCCTCCCTCATCTCAATCCACTACTGCTAGCTGGGACTATAGCGCAGCAGACTATGTCCGCACTCCGTTTCCGTTCTCCATTTTAACGGTAGTTGTCCGTGACCAGCGACCACTTCAGCGAAGGAGGTCACAAGTCGTAATTGGCCCCCACCCCCTTCCGTGCCCCACCGTCGAGCAGACTGTCGCGGATAACTGACGTAGCCTTGCGGTATGGTGGCTTCGGATTGAAAGCGCTGCCTGGCGCTCGAAGGTCTTGCAGACCATGACAGGTGTCGAAGAATTGAGTCTCAGGAGGCAAAAAAAGGTAGGAAGGGAGCGCCACTAGCGCACAAGCCTGCAGCAGTAGCAATCTAAGAATCATGTTGAAGGGCGAGTATGAGGTTTTCCCCGCAGCCTGTCAATCAAGACACAGTGGACCTGTCACATCCTTCGCCGGTGACCCAAAAACGGCCGTGAGAAGGAGCTAAGGGGAAGAGGGACGGGGTGGTTGGACAAGTCCGATTCGTGTCTTGGGAAAGATACAAACTTTGGGACGAGTGAGCTTGATCGAACCTGTCACTGCGTGGCTGCAGGAAAGGGTGCCCAGGTTTGGGTCCAGAGCGTTGGGGGAACCGCGTGTCCCTGACGATCGGTCATCGGAAAACAAAACGACCCTGGCAAGTGATCCGTCCCGTTTAGTTTCCATTTTTATTGAGATCTTGAGAATACGAAGAGGATGGATAATTAATACTCAGACATTATAGAGCGCTAGATCAGCGTGTGCGCTGTGTCGAAGAGACAAGCCTCGAAGGAGATATGCCGACATAATTGATAGTATAGTGGACGGGAATTGGTGGCTGTAGAAGGAAAGTCCCGAATGGGAAGAAGTCCCGAGGCCGCCACGCAGCTTTAGGAAAGAGGGGGCCTGGGGCCTTCTCCTGGGCTGCCTTAGCCCCCTTCTTCCAGAACAAACAAAACAACTCCGTCTTCAAAGCTTTCTCCTATCTTCATCCCCTTCATCCACACTGCCTTACTCAGGAAAAGACTGACTGACTCGTTCAGACATTGGGGTAACTGTGTCTATTTTGAGATGGGCTCCATGTTCCCCATCGCCAAACTAGCGAAACACTCCCGTTGTCTCCAATCGGTCTCAGAAACGCGCCAGAGCTCCCTTGCCCCATGTGCCGAGCTAATGCACGTTTGCTCGAACCTCTGATCGAGTATGACTGTCATTAAACTTTATTGAGAGATCGACACTCATCCTGAAGCTTCCCTGTCGGAGCCGGCAAACATTAAGGTTGCAGGGGGGGAACAGAGCCTGGACTCTGGAGATATCCTGGCAGCCTCGCTCACGGAGACACTGACGGAGACAATAACTGCCGACGCCTTCGTACTTCGTACTTCCTACCTCGGAGACATACCTAGATCTCGGATAATTGTGCCATGTCATATCTGACTTGTGCTACCGTGCCAGCCGAACGGATTGCAAGAACAGCCGACCGACCTTGATTTAAGCGAGCCCCAAAGTGTCTCAAAGGCCCGGGTTCGTCCGGAGAACAATCTAAATAAGTCATTCTTAGTCGAGACTAGACGCCTCGAAAGCCACCTTTCAGTAAAAGGCAAATCGAAATTCTCATCTGTCAGACAAAGGATACGTCTAAACTCAAAACTTTTATGACATGTCTCATAACTGTCGTCCTTGGCATCACATGCAAACTGTTCTTCTCTACGCCATGCAAAACGAAACGTCAAGCAATCATGCAAAAGCACATGGATCACTATTGCGTCTCCCTCACGCGGTCGAAATGCACCCGAGAGTCAAGGTTCCAGAACGCATTGACTCCGGAGACCGCACACACAACGGCTACCAAGGTCAGCTTCACTCCGCAAGTGCCAAGCAGTCAACATCGACTCACCAATCACAGTGCTCATTTCATAGTACCCGACGTGCTCCGCCAGGTATCCCGAAAGCACGGGCCCGATAAATGCTCCCAGGGTCCAGCTCATGCTGGCCATGGACAGGGCTCGCGAGTAGCCTCCGTTGGGGCCAAAGATTCCAGGCGACTCGGCTTCGAGCTCGTCAATAGTGACTGCCGAATTTGCAGTTAGACAAACCTCCTATCCGTGGATACAAAGTAACGCACCTGTCGCTTCAATGGTTGCCGCCCCATTCATCAGACATGAAACGGACCCTACTAGGGTGACGCAGATCGTATAGATCACTTTCCCTCGGTCGCCTTCATTGACCCAAGGGAAGCGGTCGTCGCCCGGCATACCAATCACCCACATGATCGGTGCAAGGAGAAGAAACCCCGCCGTCGTCGGCCACCTCGTACCAACCCGGTCTTTCAGCCAGCCACAAAACGGGCTAAGAATAATCCCAGGACCCTGTAGGGCGAAGAACATCATCCCCGCGGGGAAACTGCCCCAGTTGAACACGTCGCGGACATGAAGGGGAAGGGTGGTGTCGAAGCTCGAGATCAAGATTGCGAAGGAGAAATAACTGACTACGCCCGCCAGAAATCGGCGATGCTGGAGGAGGAAGACATAGAATCTCCAGCCCGCGAGATTCGGTACATTTACATTCTTGTTGTTTCCCAAAAGCGGTGCACTCTCCGGATCCACCGATGCGCTGTTGTGCGAAGGCTGCGTTATTTCTTCTAGTATAGGATTAGTGGAGGTTCGGGCGCGAGCTAAGACGCCACCTACCCTTTTTCTCTTTTGACTTCTCTAGCATGAGGAATCGCAGAACAATGTCTACGATCAGGATTGCGAAGGCGCTCGACCATGCGACCCAGTAGCCTCCCAGCTCGAAGATTATGCCCGCTACCATGGGTCCGCCCGAGGTACCCGCTGCAACGATCAGGGAAATGACACCGTAGGTTTTACCCAGATGCTCCGGTCGAACGTTATCTGCGATAGTGGCGTATCCTACGACCCAGATAAAGGAGCTCGCAATCGCCTGGATGAGACGACCGGCGAAAAGCGTGAAAGCTGTTCACCTAGGCGTCAGCACAACCCCGCATCTCTTCTTGTGGCCTTCATCCGACAGTGACGTTGTCGTAAGGGTCACTCACTCGTAGTCGCCATCGCCAAGATTATCGATCCAATCAAAGCCACCACCAGAGACCCAACCAGCAGCGCTCTCTTAGAGGATAGCCCATCCGCGTAGTGACCGATAAAGGGACTCGTAACCAGGGACGCTACCGCACTTTCGGACAACAAGGCAAAACTCATGCGCTGCGTCAATGCGACGTCCAGCCCCAGGCGATTCTCAAGTACGTAGGGCAGAATTGGCACGAGGAACGTATACAGGAAAGTGTCTAGAATTTGGGGCGAAAGTGACTGTCAGCTCGTCATGATTTCAGACGCTATCAAAAATTTTCTCCTATGGCGTGCTTACCCGTGAACAGTGCGATGGCCATGGCACCCACGATGAATAAGGGCGAGGAGCGCCATTTCTGGCCCCATACTTTGCCTCCCATCGTGGGAGTATAAGTCATGATGCTGCTTTTGGCCGCACGGAACAGCAGCAGCAGCAGAGTGAGTGCGAAGGTGCGAAGGAAAAGAGGGGAGACAATTCTTAATGATAAGCAGAAATATGGCTGGAGGGGCCCCATCCGCGCCTTAGCTGCTATCGTGCGCGGCCTGGTGGTTGGTCAAAAAGCCCGCAAGACCCACCGCGTCGCCGATAAGGAATCATTGTTTGTGGATGGAGTGCTGGGAAAACACCTTGCATGGTGCAGAAACATGTTTCTGTTCTTTGAGGGGGAGCTCAGCTGGAGGGATTTTTTTCTTCTGTGGAGTGAAGGATTTGATGTTAGTAGGACTTTGGGGTGCCCATGTTGTTTGTATGGATGAATCAAGAGACAACGTATCGATTGATAGCTTCAATAGGCGGGGAACGGGTTCAGCCGAGGCAATATGTTTACATGGCGGCAGCTGCGCTTTGCAGACTTGGCTCACAACCACCAAACTTTTCACCTTATTACTTTGATATATTACCCCTGTTGTGTTTCTTTCACCAGCAGGCTAAAATAACAAAGCGAACATATCATGAGGCCTATTCAATGTCCTGGGTACAGAATTATCAACCAATTCTGTGATTATACAAGAAAGCCAGCCGCCCAGAGTGAATCTCCATCTCAGTGTGAATAGCAACACAACAGGGTGTTGATGAATGAAGCGCTGGACACTTCCTGTCCTCAAACATAAATACCCCCTCTCCCACCATCCTTCCGTCTTCTTCTCTTCTTCTCTCTTTCACACCACCCTTCAGAGAATCCCCAAGCCACTCCACACAAAACCAGAACTGAGAGTCGCCATTCTTGATTTCCTGGATTCAATCCATCACACGAAGAGATGATTTCCTTGATACACTGCTTGAAGACCTGCCATAGCATTTTCAAATCTCATCTGCGATGGTTGATCTAACTCCCACTCCGTCAAGATTCATGGCCGGTGGCCCGTCCCCTGCTCTCTTCTACTCTTCTGCATCCTCCGCGGAGGCAACAACAATTCGATAACCCAGTCATCCAAGGGCCATCGCGTTCTTCTTTCAGTATATCTCTTCCGCGGGTCTCCTACAGAAGGTACAGAGATTACTGAGACAGTCGCATCTTGGAGCTGTTCGGTCGCAGACTGCGCAAACACTCAGTTCGCTTACCTATCAGCTACACAACGCTTCCTTGATCTGTCAGAGTGTGCGCGGCAATCCTCCCAGAATCCTCCCTGAAAGTCGTGCAGTCCCTGCCAGGTCGCGAGAGCTGCAACCGATCTTTCACCCCGTCCCTTTCGTGTAGTTCAGTGCGTGAACTCAGTTTAGAATCCGGCCCAGCTTCGCAAGGGAATCCTATGCGATGAGAATTAGATTCAGAGTGTTCTTCAAATGGCCAAGGTACGTGCTAAGCCTCCTAAGGAACCAACTCTTCACAGCGGAGTCTGACGATCTCGTCTTCCGGGCAGACAGAGCTCAGAAACGCATACAACGAGCGGTACCACGTCCTATCAGCTAGTATCGCTTGAATGGAACCAGGACGGGTTACGGGCGATCTATACTCTGGCCTTATGGACACCACGGCGCATGCATCGCGAACGACAGGACGCCCGCCAATGTGCACAAAAACAGCGACCATAGAAGTTCTCCTCAGAACAAAGACGCCAGACTACAGTGACAGGATAGTCCTGGGATCTCACTGTCAAAAGGAGAAGGCCTGGTCGCAGCTCAAAACTCGACTTGGCAAGATTTGGAGTTGTGTGGTTATTGGAAGGTTCGCTCCCAAGAACACAATACCAGTGTTGGTCTGGCGACTTTGACACAGAAGGGACCATTGGGAAGGCCTGGATCTCCAAGTCGCGTACGATTGTTTACAGGCCGCGGAATCTAACATTCAACTTGTTTCCGAGATACTGTACGCATGTGCTATGCGGTAGTCCAATAGCGACGGGACCATCGCCGGGCAGAGACAGGCTAAGACCAAGCGAATCTCGACACCAATGGGCTAGTAGCAGAACTATACCCCTCTAGGAAGGACTTTACCTACGATTATGATGCGGACGGTTTGGACATTATCGCAGAGAAATCTGAGCCGTCGACTGATTCTTCCGTCGGGCCATGAGGACAAATTCACCTACCATGGCGCATTGCAATCGATCAAACGACACAGTGCTAGTCTGCAATATGACGCACGGATCAATCAGATGGCTGAAAGTTGTTTGTCCGGCTAGATTTTCTCTAGGTTCTCTGGTTACTTTGTGGTAGCTGGCGGCTGAGCTACGATGACCAAACGCTGAGGCAGCTGCTGGCCTCCGTGCTAGATTGGATGATCAAGAACCTCTTCAAGGCGATAATCTCCTGGTTTGGAAAGGGTTCAACGCGCTGAGCTCATCCCACGGACCAGAGAAAAATCCCAGTGGCGCATTGGGAATAGCTGAGTGATGCCGCAGCGCGGTAGAATGGCGGGCGTCGACTTCTCGTAATATGCCGTCGTGCAGCATGCGAACAACCAGCAGGCCAACTGCAGTGTTGTGATGCAGCCGAGACTTTACACCTTTGAGACAGGCAGGAAGATGAATGGGCTACTTCTGTATCCTTTGCAACATGACCCAACGAGCGATTTTACAGGAGGCAGATTACTGCTCAAACCACAAACCGAGTACCAAGCCTATACCCATCGAAGTTCAGACCGGGCTGGAAGGTGATAGTAAGTACGCTAACTGCCATGATCAAGATGTGGAGCGGAGCTAACAAGAGATGTAGTGATATGGGCAGGCACGAGGCTGCGGGCGTTGTCCTAACACAGTACGATCGCGTTGAGAGGCTGGATCTGAACGCCATGATCGTCCATGAGTGCTGCACTTTATGCTGTGAGATCAATCATTTTGACTAGAGCTGACCGGTTTCTTTACTGGAGTCAATCCTACCGACTGGCGTACTTGCATGAGTGCAACAAGGTGGCTGCTGTTATGCTCGTCACAGAGATGCTAAGCCTTGCGCTCAGAAATATCAACCAGGCATGCACTGGTCTGGTTGTAGCCCATTGAGATACACGTGGTTTGAACTTTCAGTTTCTCAGACGTCGGTCTACACGCAGAACCACAGCGGGGAAGTAAGCCAGCTTCGACGCTGAACAGGACAAAACAAGAGATCGCAAACAGAAAGCAGTCAAGATCGTGAGAATTGAGAAGCGGAAATTTGCGAGTACAAGCATGGCACTTGGCTGCCACAGTGCGGTGATCTGACTTCGGCCAAAAGTTCTTGTGGTCACTGCATGTGAGTCACTTCGACTAAAGCTTGAGTCCACTCACAAATCCACTATTTCATCAACAGGTTATGAGCCCTCAGCTGCGATCAGCTTGGCTCCACCGTCTTGGTCAAGAGATGCATCATTCTTGATGAGACTATCAACTGAGCGCTGGCAAAGTTCGGAAGCTACGGAAGCGCGGATCTAAGACTACTGGTGTGGAGGTTCTCACTAGAGAAACCGGTAATGATCTTGTTCGATGTCAGCATGAACAGCGTTTCCCGCACTCCTTTGCTTCCGCAGGACTTCTCATTTACTGCGCTCAATATTACAAACCTCATTGAGCAAGAAACAGAAAGACTGCAAATTCATAATCATCAGCGTGGTGGGATTGTAACGCGGAGATTCCCCGGAACAGTCCATGGGGCACAAAAGGTCCATTTGAGAAGCCATCATCAAACAATCGCCATCTGCAAACTTGGCCACCATACGGAGTGCGTATGTCCGACTGCTGAGTTTACCTAGCTGTTAAGCTCTTAACGGCACATGAGAGAGCCACAAACTATCCCGGTAACTTTGACACCGAAGGAAGATTCTGAGTAAACCGGGTTCCGTTCGGCCGAACGTTTGTCTTCGAATTGCATGATATGCAAGTATAAAGGATGGTATGTTCTTTGTGAGCACTATCCAACGCGAGTCCCGGAACATCAGCTACTTCGGGACACTAAGGCATTTGGGGATTCTCAAGTCCGCTGCTCAAATTTTCAATTCACTGCTGGCCGCCCGATGCGCTAAGAGCTTTCCCTCGCAGTGATCAGTATTCATGTTCTCGTCACGCTCGTCATTTATGTTGTAGCCCTTCGAATGGTAGATCCGGTTCTTTGCAAATGCGCCATTTTCACTGTTTTTCACCATCTTGATTCTCTCGCATACTATGTCCACTGAAGCAAGAATCGATTCTCGTGGAGATCCCAAAAGAGAAGCAATAATGGAAGCTACGGAATCAATATAAATTAACCCAGAATATCGAATCCCGGCGAAAGACAAGAAAGAGGAGATATTTTCTGAGGCAGGATTTTCAACACCGCCGACTCCGATGGGACAGACAATCAGTATGATGATGACCATACAGAGGCTTGCGAAAATCTGGGCATAGTGAACCAGAAAAAAAGCCCCGATCCAAGGGAGACCCTTGCAATGTCCTCATCCTCCAGATTTGGCAGGGATTCCACTGTCAATAAGCTGGCCACAAATCGGCCTTGATGATGGCGTCCGCTAAAATCGGCGGTACCTGGCACGCAATCGTGTTCATTCTTCATGTGCACTGGCACCCTCGACAGCCATGACGATGGAAACCACGGCCACATAAAGGAAGTCGATTGAAAGGGCAATTAATGCCATTGAGGATACACCGAAATTTCGGTCTTCCGTGGTAGTGGAATCACCTCAATTCGGTTGACCATCGGGCACGGAAGATCAATGCTAGCACATGAGCATTCGCAGAGCATTTCAGAGGAAGTCGCCCATTGCCCGTTCCCTTAGACACCGGAGAAAAATTGCTCAGATGTCAAAATCTGCCCTCGTGAGCGACTCTATGAGTCCCGTCCCTCTGGACCCGCACATAAGACTACGACAAATGGTGGCGCCATTCGTACTACTGAAGTCGTCAGTACAGAGTTGGCAGGTTTTCGAAGGTATATCATATCCGCCGTGTGGAAATTGAAATCAGTCGACCTTGGAGATAAACACAGGCGGCCTACATAGTAGCAAGATGCTCCATGAATCAAAAACAACGAGTATATTGTGCCCTTTGACCGCTGCGGGTGGGGAGCAGCATCATGGAAGGGAACCGTGAGGTTGGCTGGCCTGCAAAGGAGATTGCAAAAGCCCTGAAAAAGGGGCAAAACCGCAACACTGGTGGGTGATGAGCTGTTTGCTGTCGTCCACATCTTTGATGACCTGGATGTGGAAGCAAAGATGCTGAAAGATCGTGTCTCTTTCAGCTGCGACACCAGTTCGGGCTCCGGTTCCTGGGCTGGATACATACGATACTACCTCATCCCTTCATCATAAGTCAGCAAGGAGTCGACCTGGTTTTCTAAGGTTTCGCCATCACCCGCCTGCACACGGAGTATCCTCGTTTTTGAACAGCTTGAAGTCGCTTGAGATCCTTCGTCCAGAAATGCTTCTCCGCCTCGGTCAAACGTGAATAAACTGCGGTCGGAATTCGCGCCGGTTTGTTGTACCTTGGTAATCACTAGTATTCCGCAGAAATTTTGACGATGCGGGCAATATCATGCACTACTCTTCTGTACTTCTAGCGCGAGTTTGGACAAGTCAGGCGACTTGTTGTGTAGAAGATTTATGTCAACCTTCAGTCTCTGAAGGTAGAAAGCCTACAGCTACATACTGATGTCTAAAGTCTGTACAAATTGATACAGCCACGTACGGAATCCATTATTGGTGGTAACTATACCAAAACAGTCACCATCCCTTCCATGAGGAGAACACGACGGCCCACGAGTCTGCTGAGCGCGCTTCGAGAATCGCGGGGGATCCTTGGGCAGAGAAATGAGCACCTTTTCTCCTCGTCAAAAGGATGTTTGAGTACTTCATGGGGGTCAGGAGGCAGGCAGGCAGGCAGGTTACTTTTACCATAGGTTTCAATACTACTTTAGATCCCATAGCACTTAAAATTCAGTTTTGGTGTCTCCCTAAGTTTCTCCCAACCTCTGCCAATTTCTGGGAATATTGTCTGGGAAACATGCCTGATTAGTGTGGTCTTCCTTATCATACATAAATAACTCGGTTTTCACTTGAGAGCTAAAATCATTCGTGGTGGTTTTATTCTTAGCTGGTAAGTTTATAGTTGTCGTATGCCTATAACCCTTGCCTTGCTAGTTCTACAGTGCTGATGCTTGCTTGTGACAGCCGTCCTGATGTCGCGGCACTAGCCCGACTTCGCATCGAGGATGGCAGGCCTCTCAGTTATCCCAAAAAGATCGAGACGGATATCTACAGAATCTGAGTTACTCGTTGAAGAAACCCGTTCCAAAGAGAATAGAAAGTAATAAACGTATCCATTTAAGGACAAGATTTGAACAGAATCTTCTCGTTGCGGCGTTGATCCGCTCGCTGGCTTGGAGAGTCGGGTTGTGACCGTCATCTTCCGGCCTGCTTTATGCCTTGTTCACTCCTTCCGTAAATGAATATACCTGAATCTGTTTTTCTGAATGCCCATTTCGATGCTAAATGTAATAAAAGGATTCGATGAGAGGCCGATAGTTCGGGCGGGTCAAGCAAGGGATCGTGTGGTGGAAGCCGATGCGAAAAAAAAAAAAAAAAAAAAAAAAAAAAAACCTAAGCCCACCAGAGATACGGCCTTTTCACAGCTAGAAGGAACATGGCAATATGAAGAAGAATTGATAACGACAGCAAGAGGCTCACTGTGGCATTGAAAACTGGTCTGGCCAGCTGTTCTCACGGTTGTGCACACTGCGACCACATTCCTTATCTCTTGGCGTATGAACGATCGAGATTTGGGGGATCGTTTTTGTAATGCAATAAATCAGCCCCGTAGGATGCATTGTTTATCCCCCGCATCGAAATGTAACGCCTCGGGCGCGGTGTTACCCCCACTCTAGGAATTCCTTCAGATAATTGTTTACTGTCGACCCGGCTTGCTATGTTCTCTTCTCATGGAACTCACCTCTACAGCGGGAGTTTGATTGATGGCTGCTATTTCACGTCATGAAGCTGGTGGCCTCTTCCTATCTGGCCGCGGTTGCGTGTGCTTTTCAGGTTCTTCCTCCTGTCACATGGAATGCAACTGGACTATCTGAAGATGGATTCGACATCAAAGCAATCGAAAGAAAAATTTTCATCACCAGCAGTTTTGCAGTTTGTCGGGATGACAATGGCTTGACATTGATTCCTCCTTCTGCTGGGGATTTTGCAGAGACCTTCCGTCAGGACCTGCAGGCAGTGACGAACACGTCTTGGGTGCTTCATACGGTAGACGCGTTCCCTGACACTGAAACAGGAATATTTCTGGACAGTGTGGACGTTCAGCAGGCCAACTTGACTTATGAGAACAAGGAGCCGACCGAAGAAGGTTATGAGCTCGTCTTCAGTGCTGGCCGGGCATACATTCACGGCTCTGGTGCTCGAGGGATGTGGTGGGGAACGCGAACATTTCTCCAGCAGCTGCTGGTCCACGACGGGGGGATCGTCCCAGCCGGACGGACCCTTGACGCGCCTTCATCGGTCACGCGGGGGGTTCTTCTCGATGCGGGTCGGAAATGGTACTCTCTCGGATTTCTCAAGGACTTGTGCACGTACGCCTCGTTCTTCAAGCTGTCCGAGTTCCACTACCACAGCAGTGACAACTACCCGTTGAATCGTGGACATAATGAGACGTGGTATGAAGTTTATTCCCAATTCTCCCTACGGCCCGAAAGCGCGGAGTTGCAGGGCTTGGTGCAGAGGCCGAATGAGTCACTGTCACGGGCTGAGTTTGAGGACTTCCAGTATCATTGCGCGCAGCGTGGAGTGACCGTGATTCCTGAGATTGAGGCACCCGGCCATTCTCTGTCAATCACCAAGTGGAAGCCGGAGCTGGCGTTGGAGCAGAAGGATCTGCTCAATTTGACGCACCCGGATACACTGGCGCTAATCAAGTCGATATGGACGGAGTTTTTGCCGTGGTTTCAAACAAAGGAAGTCCATATTGGGGCGGATGAGTACGACTCGGCATTGGCGGACCATTACATTGACTTCGTGAATGAGATGGCTGCCTTCATCAATGAGACTGCCGGCAAGAAGGTTCGCATCTGGGGAACTTACGAGCCGTCCAACACCCGCAACATCTCCAAAAATGTCATTATCCAGCACTGGCAGTATGGACAGTCGGATCCCGTTAGCCTTGCAAGGGATGGCTATGAGTTGATCAATTCCGAAGATTGGTGGGCATACATGACCCTGAAAAACGACCACATGCCCATCTTTCCCGCTCCATATCCACCCTCGTTGAATAATACTCGATTGCTAAATTTTGGGGAGAGCAACGGCCTGCAATGGACTCCACCGTTGTTTAACCCATACAATCTCACGAACCAACCCGATCCGAGGCGTGTCCAGGGAGCCATCATCGCAGCCTGGAATGACAATGGTCCTGACGCGACGACGCAGCTGGAGGCATACTATGCTCTTCGTGACGGTATCCCAACCTTCGCGTCTCGTGTGTGGGCGGGGAACCGTGGGCAGGAGCTGGATCTATCGAGCTTGTCGGAGTCTATGCGCGTGCTGACTGCGAAGGCGGTGGCGCAGAATCTGGATCGGCGACTTTCTGGAGAGATGGAGCTAGATGGAGAAGTACTATTCAGCTGGGATGCAATGGACGAGAATGCCACGACAAAACATCACTTGGGATATGGGAGTAAAGGGATGAACTATTCGCTAGAGCTGAGCATAACGGGTCCGTTTACTTTGTCCTCCGACGATGCGACGCTCAAGCTAGGATCCGATGGTTCTTTGACCTTCATGTCGGACGGCTGGGAATATCCTCTCCGGTCTGTGTCCGAGGCCGATGGATATGATCCTGCGTATCCAGGTCGTATATGGGTCAACGAGACGACCTCCACACATGAGCCGGTGACTGTGCCGCTGGGAAGTCTGATCACGATCCAGACGGATGTTGTTGGTGGAAGTCGCGTTTGGATCGATGGTTTATTTGCTGGCAGGTTTGAGGTGTTTGTCTTCGGGGGAAAGAATACTTTGTTTTCTTGGAGTCAGATGGCGTTTGTTGCACCGTTGGAATGGATTGAAGGAGGTGTACGCCACTTGCGACTAAGAGTTTATAATGAGCATGACGATTAGTATCAGTTCAACAAGCTTTAAGGATACTTAGTGAAAGAATTTGTTTTTGCAGAGTGCCATCAAGCGAATACGAACGGAATCTACCCCCGTGTCCTGACGTATGTGAGTCATTTGAGGTTTGGTCATTATGATGTCCATTCTAAGTCCCCACCATATAAAGTCTGAAGGTTTGTTTTGCTTTCATCGTTCTTCAATGTGTGTCATCTCTGCTCTGATTTTCTACCACGCACAATCAGACCATCGCACTACATCCTCATATGGCGCTTTTTAAGTATGTGGACAGCCAAGGGCCGAGACCTGCTAAGAGAGCTGGGCCCCTGGAGAATCTTCTTCTTCTTCGAGATCTTGCATGCCGCCGCCTGGTTAGGGGCTTGCATCTGGTGGAAGGTCTACCCACCACCAGCAATCTATAACCACCCTGGCCACGCCGACCACCCCCCCTCTAAAAAGTGGATGAAGATTGACTGGCAGATCGTTGTTCACATCCTAATCATGGATATCGCATGTTGGGCCACTAGCATTTATCATTTATATGTGTGGTATCGCTGGCGACTGGGTCGTTCCCTCAGTATACGCCAGCGAGCGCTGGCTAATCTCGCCTATCTCCATAAATTTTGGTTCAGCTTCGATGGCCCAGGCTCCGTTGTCACCCACCTAATAGATGAGGCAAAGAAGCAGCAGCAGCAGCAGCAGCAGCAGGAGGTTGAAAAAGAGGAGAGCGCAGTACTAAGAAGGCTACTGTCGTCAACTCCGTTGTGGAAAATAGAGGCAGTGTTCTGGTGTCATATGCTTCGATTTTTGTTTCTTACTGCCGTTGCTGCAAGTATGGTGGCGTTTGATCGTAACAAACGGGCCCCGTGGCTTGCGAATATTTTGATGATGCCGACCTGGCTTCTGCTAGCATTGATAGAGGGGATTCAGGACTCGGAGCGGAGGCGGATCGCTGAGTGAGACGCCTCCACGGGATTGCAGATGTTGAGAGTGCACATAAGGTGAGTCTTTTTTTCTCTTGCGCATACTTGCTTGTTGTCTTGGAGGATGTATCCAATCTGACCACATGGCATTTGGCAGGTCGAGACCAGAGAAGAAATCTGCAAGTGTGGTTGACGGAGCTGGATTCAGGAAGAGGTTTTTGTGGTAGAATGTGACGTTGCAAGTTGGTTGCTGGAGATGGATTCGGCTTGATCGGCTCGAGAAAACATATATACCTCAGTCACCACAAGTTATTGCTTTTGCTAGAGTGGTGAGTGACGAAGGCCCTGCGACTGCGTTGGCTGAGCCGCATTCTAGTTAGTTTGACTTTGAAAGCGTCCATTGCTCGTCTCTCATTCTGTTAGGAGTTGGGACTTTTTCTGCTTGGTCGAACTTTTCTGTTCTGAATTACAATCAACATTGGATTCTTTCTATCCTTATGCATATTGCTAGACGTGCAGAACTCCTCTCCTAATTCTCAAGACATAAAGCCTTTCAATAAATTAGCATAGATTGTTGTGAGGCTACAAAAGATAATGATATAAATAACTGAGGATTCTATTCATAGAGAGACTCACTGCGAACCGGGAACAGCTCGTCACGATATCCTCAGGATATTCTGGTGGTCTGAAACATATCAGAGAATAATTAGATGTATTATTTATTATATGAAACATTGTAATATATAAATTAACTATTAGATTTGGTTAGCTTCACTACTAATAACTAAGTTTAGTACTCTTCTTGAAAAATATTTTCTTTGTTTTACTACTTTATTATTCTGTTATTTATTGAGATTCTGCTCAAAATCTGTCAATCAATCATAAAATATATGAGATAGGATTCTTCTTTCCTGACTACTTAGAGTAAGTCTTTTATACAGTTAACTAATTTCTATATTGAGTAACTAGACTTACTTACTGTACAGTAAATAAATAAAAACAAATCCTATTCTTTATTATTATACCTAAATAATATAGATTCTATCTGCTTTATTCTTTTTGCAACTAATACTCGGCAAACCGATTCTTTCTACTTACCACCTTAATAAACTCCTTCGCGAGGGAAGAACACTTTGTTTGTCAGATGGCTTTTGTTGCACTACCGGAATGGATGGAAAAAAGTGTGCACCACTTGCAACCAAGGGCTTATAATGAGCATGGTGATTAGTAACAGTTTGAGACGCTGCTTTTGTAATAATTATAAGAGCAACCAGAAAGGCTCTGTCAGCTCATTTGAAGCTTCGACTTTAACGGCGCTAAAGGTTTGAATAAGGGGAGAGCATCCACGCCTCTAGCCAAAGGCGGATATCAAGCCCTTCACTCTCACTTTACTCCGCTTATATCTTGCCTTTCACCAAGGCGCCAACTTCTTCCGCCGTCTGCTTCCTCTCCTGACCCTTCACCTTCTGTCAGCTTTCATAACCCAATGTCTCTCAATTCATCTTCTCAACCCATCCTCTGAGTCTAGTCTTCCAGACTCCAGGTCGTTGTTCTTCTTGAAGTGTCCGGAAAACTCAACAACCATGGCTTCAGAAGATGATTCTGTGTCCTGCTCAAGCCCCAGTAGTTCAGAAGATGACTAAGACTCCTGCTCAAGCTCCAAGTCTGCTCTTGATCCGGGTTTTTGGTATATATGTTCTCACTACCAAGACTTGTTCGAGCGTGATTTCGACTACGCGGATGTCACCTTAGTAGAGAAATGTGTAGCGAAATCCACAGCTGAGGCCATTTGGAAGAGGCCCGCAGAAACCAGCCGTGGGAGGTTCTACTATTGTCCCGGCTTGAAGGAAACAGTATGAACTTCATCTACGTTGCTTTATGACCGTCGCTAAAACCATAGCTTTGACTAGGATACTAATACAATAATCACACATCTTCGACGGAAGCCAGCTGGGCTACCGAAGAAGACTTGGCAGATTTTGAGGACTCACAATCTTGTACGAACGCCCGAAGAAGAGATAGAACATTGTTTCAAGAGTTTGAAGGCCTCAACGCAGCATTCCACGCAATTCTCAAGGCATATACAGCGGGGCTTAGCAGCTTGCTTGGCCATGCATTCGGCAACTCGGGCACTGTCGACTGAGTATGTCACCACTGAAGATAAGAACATGACCGTCTTTGTCAGTAGAGATACTCGATGTTTGAAGGTTCATGACAAATACCTGAAGTCCGATACAGCCCATGGCGCGGCAGCGTGTCTCGGCTACGAAATGAGTACTCTATACACCGATAATCAGAGTGTGTTCTTCTGTGGTCATCTGGTTGAGGATCTCTACGGGCAGACGCTTGAACAGGTCATAAACCCTCCTGACCCTGACCTTGTCCGCTCTTTGCGACTTGCAGCGAGGGATAGCCTTCTGTTGATGCCAAGAATGGTATCCATCAACCTTTCAGGACAGCCACTCAAACTCAGAATCTCCTGGAAGTGTAAAGATAGCGAGTTCTTGCGCGACATTGTCGGCTCGAATTGCTCTATGTTGTGACGCTTCATCGTGAAAGCACATGCTCCCACTTGAAGGAAGAAATTTCGTTTCGGACTGGTCAGTCACATCAATCAATTTTACTACGGCTGGAAATCTGATTGAATTAATAGCTAACAACAAGGTGAAAGATGGCGTTCCCAAAGACGGAGTCACGGTTGCTGCTTGCGGCTGTCAGATGACGACTACTTCGTTCAATGTTCACGAGGCTCAGTTCAGCGGGCTTGACAGTGAGGAGTTATACTTCCCTCTCGTCGCGACAAATCGTGATGTGTCTATCTATGGATTGGCACCAGATGCCATCGCTCCAGAACCGCGCTCTTCGGGCCCTGGTTCGACAGTCATCGATATCCCATTCCATGCAAAGCCAGACGATATTATGTATTCCGACGAGGATGAGAATCCTGAAACGACATCTACAAGACAGTATGATGAGCCTTGGCGTCTCTGCTCTCAAGTAGTTCCTTCCATTGGTTCAACAGGTTCCAGTAGATCTACCAGAGACGGAGAAACAATGTCTTGTCTGCCCGTCTGCGCCCAAAGAATGAAAGAATGGGCAAAGGAGCGTGAACTGGAACATGGTAAAAGGATCGTGTGGAATGATTGGGTTGCAGATAATTTTGTGGTGCAGTTTGAGACGCTGAGTTTACCTCGAAGATCTCAGGTAAGCTCAGTTTCCATGCTCTGTTACTAGTCTTCATTTTATACTGACTTTCCGTCCTCTAGTTGCCTGGTGCAAGCGCTGTCCCCCATTGGGAATACTCCTGCCAGCGTCTCAATCACGCATTTGTACGGGACGAATACTCGTAACTCACACTGAAACCCTCAGGTGGGCATGCAGCAAACGTACAGTATATTTTCCTGGTGCATGACATTCTCCGGACCGATAGCCCTTCAGGCGAATCTGAGAGCATTGCATTACTAGGGTCTCTTTATTTGTTTCAGCCCACGAGCCCAGCTTTCCCTTCGAGGTTCACACTCCCAGTCCGAGAAAATGAACTTGTTCTACAATTCCACGATTTTGAGACAATGGGCCAGAAGTCAGATGGAGAAATCATATTTCTTGACGACATTACGCAGGCCCAGGCACTGACATCTCAAGACTCTGTTCTGCATTTGCTCCCTACCGCAGATGGTAGGTCTCATAAGGCGCCAAGTCTGTTCGTTGTTTCTCCTACTAACCAAGCATGCAGAACCTCAAAGTGCCGATTACTTCTGTCGCTTTGCTATCCGCGATAGAATCAATGCGAACGCAGCTTGCATCACGCCACTAAATTCTGGGTTACTTTCACGTCAAGATCGATGGAAGCGTCCTCGTTATGCGCCGTCCAAGCCTATTGTCATTGACCTTAGTCCACGGGATCTAGGACTCGCTGAAGGTTTTTCCCAGGCTGAATTTGACATCATCGCTGGTTTGGGATTCGACTCGGAACAGGACATGAGTTGGAAGGTAAATTTGCAATCTCCAGATCTGACCCCACCCACCCTCATCGCTAGATCTAATCATGATGATAGACCAGGTATCCTACAGCAACTACTTATGATGAAAGTCCGCCGTCCGTTCTTTCGCACATGAGACGCGGAAAATTGCTGCCTCCTCAGGACGTGAAAGCTGGCGTACCGAAAGTTCTGATCTTCTCGGAGACTCGGCCATTGGTCATCGGAGGTGGTGAAGACCCCGACTTTGACCTACCCCTTCTGAACATAATCGATGAGCTGAATGCCAGCGAGGACGACTTTGACTTTCTGGTCTGTATACAGCCAGCAGGGATTCTGCATCCGCAGTACCTTCCTTCCTTTGCAAAGGCTGTTCTCGAACTTCTGAAGAAACGACACTCAGTGCATGTTTTCTGCGTCCGGCTACCAGATCATGGGATCTCGAACAGTCAGACATACGTCGTCCTGCTTGCTCTCCCATCTGCTCCGACATCCCTTGGCCTGCGACCCACCTTGACAAAAAGAGCATCGAAGAGCAGATTGGCCATCTCAGGTCCAAAAACCCTCGGGCGGATGACGCACACCCTACAGCAGGAAAACATGTATTCTTGAATCCTGCGGGTCAGGTCAATGTCTACAACCATGGCTCCGGTCAGCTGCCTGATGCGGCTGACAGGCCGTACTTTGAAACCGTCGACTTTGAGAGCAACATCATCTTGCCAACACTTTACAGCGATCACGGCTGGCTGCATCCTAGTAAGTTGCTGTTGCATCGTGATTGACTCACTGCTAACTGGCAACAGCTCGCCACGATATTCTCACGGTGCGCGAATGCGCTCGCATCCAGGGGGTTTCCTGATGATTACATCTTCTATGGCGCTGACAAGGGCCTTCGTTCTCAGATCATTGCATCATTTCCGCCACCTATCGCGCGGGGGCATCGCGGAGGCGATTCGTAAGATCATCAAGGAGCATACGGCGCCAGGGTTGAATGCAAGCACATTTGCTGCTTTGAATCTGGATGGCCGACCCCAGAAGAGGACTCGAGTGGATTGATTGATACATGACACATTTGTCTTCATGGGTCATCCCAGCACGCATTTGCAATTAGATGTGATTGGTGTTATAGCACGGGCTTTGGACACGATCTTTCTTCAGCGCTTGAACTCTTTCCCTCTCTTGGTTACTCCGGTAGTGTGTAAAGCTTCAGAGAGCAATTGAGTGTATTATATGTCGTGCATGGAGTTGGAATACGCAGGATATCTATTGGGATCGGTCAGCTTTATCACTAACAGTTGAGTGTAGCACTCTTTCAGTAGATTTCCTTCCTCCTCCCACCATGTTATTTTGATTTATCATAATTCCGCTCGAAATCTGCTGATCGATTGCGAGTTGCATAACGTAGGGTTCTTCTTCCCTAACCACCCCAGAGTAAAATGGGTTTTTCATGCGGTCATTAAGTCCCTGCACTAGGTGATCAGCATTATTTACTGCAAATTAAGCAAAAGAAAGCAAATCTCATTCCTCATTATCACATCTAAACAACATAGATTCCACCCGATTCACCCCCTTTCACGACCAGTACTCGGCAAACCGGCTCTCCCCGCTCACCACCTTGATAAACTCCTCCGCGATGATCTGATCCGTCCGCGCCGACGGATGCAGCTGATCAAACCACAGGAACGAATCCGGGCTGTCCGACTTGGTACAGTCTGTCCCATTGATATTACAATGATACTCGAACCCGGTGACATTCGCCGGCGCAGTCCCGTTCAGATACTGGGTGGGGTTGTAATAGATCTCCGAGATCTGAGACTTTGCATCAGTACTCAACTCTACCCGCCTCTGTACCAATTTCCGCAGATAGAAACAACCTCAATGTAGCTTGTACCTTACCCCTTTTTCACCTCACCCTCCACCATCGATCCCAAAAGAAAGGAAGAGAAGAGAACTCACCAAAGAATAAACATCGAAAACGGCCACCTGCACCCCGGGCCACCGCTTCTTCACCAACACCTCGACGGGCGTCCGATATCGAAACGCCTCATTCACCAAGACGACCTGGCCCTCCATGCGGCCACTGATCTCCGTCAGATTCGCCGGCTTATCCGTCCAGTAATTATTCGGCCCGACCCCGCCGTTTTCGGGGGTCGCATACAGCGGCGCCAGCTGCAACGGCACCACATTCATGATCACGAAGTACTTCGCTGCTCTGCTGCCACTGCTGGCGCCCCTCTCCGTCTGCGTCGATTTCCCGGTGGTGGTGGTAGCGTTATACACCCCATCCAACGCACTATACACACAGTCCAGATAATCCACAAGCGTGGCGTTGTTCAGCTGCGAGTCCGTGAGGAACGCATTGTTCCCCAGGTCGTTGGTGCCGATCCAGATGGCGTAGACGGTTTCGTCGGCGGGGATGTCCAGGAACCTTTGATTGGTGTTAGGGTCGGTGTAAGCGGCGTCTGCGGTGAAGGCGGGCACCTCGTAGTCCAGCACGGAGGGGAACAGGTAGCCCGCCGTGGGGTCGTAGGCGCGCGCGACGATATCGTTGGAGCAGGTGGCGCCCGCGACGGCGTAGTTGTACCGGTTTTTGGTGGCCTCGTGGAAGGTCGAGACGTAGTGCGGCCAGGTTGGGCCGCCCGAGGCGGAGATGTTGGCCTTTTTTTGGGGTGTTAGTTAACGAATGTGTGGAAGGGGAAGTTTTGGGGGATGGGGTGATTGAGGTTGTGTATGTCAACATACGTCTGGTTCAACCCATCCCACCGGAGGAGCGGAGTCATTGTGTGTGTAAAAGTACGCAAATCGCGTATCGTCGGTGTAGCTATCCCCAAAGGTGACTAGAGTGGTGAATTTCCGGGGCCCCCAGGCTGAGGCGGATGCCTCGAGCCCTAAGAGCAGCAGCAGTAGCGGCGGCAGCAGCACTTGTCGCATGGTGGTGAAGGGGGAAACAAGAATTCGAGGAATGCTGGAGGTGGAAATTAGAGTCCAAGAACTTGAGTCACCAGCGCTGGATATATTTATATTTGATCCACGACCCTGTGAGACTCCCTCTCTCCCTCTCTCTCTCTCTCTCTCTGCCTTTTAGTCGAATTTGTGCGTCATAACATTGGTAAAAGTGTCGCGGACGGTCGGGATCCCTCCCTATTTAGCCGGCCGCGGATGCCGCATCCGGTGTGTGTGTTGGGGCGGCGATAGATGATTCTCCCCGCAGCTTGCAAACTGCCTGCAGCACACATTCAATAGCGGGTAACTCAAATCATGTTGATGGCTTGTTGTGGTTTGCGGAGATTAGGCCAAGTATGAGCTGGTAAGATGCTGCAGGCGTGGCTTTTATCCGGTACGCGAGGGGGAAGGAGAAGCTGCAGTGCCCGGTTGAGTGTCAGGCGGTGGACCGTTTTACCCCCGCATGGAATCAAGTCGTTTTGTAGAAGGTCTCCCCGCGTCAGAAAGGCTTAGCCTGAAGGTAATCCTGTTTTATTCGGGGTGGTGTGATTATATTGCTGGTTAGGCGAGGTGCAAGCTATTGATTCCTTTCCTGACAAAAGGGTTCACTGTGGCCCTTCTTTGTGGCGACACATCTGGACATAATTGATTGTGGGAAACGATTAGAGCTTGTAAGACAAAAGGAAAACATTATTTGTGTATCGTGAAGCTCTGACCATAGCCTCCCAGTGCCTGTGCCTGTGCCTGGCGAGGTTCTTTGTTGGAGTTGTTGCTGCTCTTGTGCTTACCAGGGTTCAATGAACTCAACCTAGGCTTCCAGTTAGTTCTTGCGGGAAGCGTTCATGGTACGCCTCAAGCCAGAAAACACTATGTGCCAAGCTACGGCTTTACAAAAGCCTGCCAGATTGTCTGAGAATTTGGTTGTTCCATTGACTGTGTTACTCAATTAGGTACATTATTCTCATTTGCCAAGGGAGCAGCTCCATTCATTGAGAATCATTTCTTCGTTCATCCAACGGCAATACATCCAAGAATTATCAATACTTGAACCTACAGTCAAACTTGCAAGTCCCACGACGAGGAAAGCGCGCAGATTCTGAAGGTCAAACTGAGATTCTGCGATACCGAACCATATGCGCCCGACTCCAGTCTATCCATTATCCCCAGATTCGCGAGACAAACCCATCAGAGTGTATTTAAGCCTGATTGCAACCTGAAGACTCCAAAAGCCGTGATCTATCTACCATTCCGATCAACACGTCATCGTAATCCAACAGATGAGGAACATGCTCACTGGGTGCGTGTCTTATTGTTTTGTCTCCGTACAATCTCGCGCCTCGTGGCCCCGTTGATGGCAGTTGCGACAGATCTGGTCGGGACAGGCGCGCGCGAGGTGGCCCAGCTTCAGGCAGGTGTAGCAGCGCGGGACGGGGCATTCCTTGGTGGGATGGCCCTCGCCGCCGCAGTTTTCGCAGCGGTCCATGAAGTGATTGTCTTGTTCGATGAGGTGGGTTTTGCGAGAGGGGAGCGGGAGACGTATACAAGCCCCAAATGTCTGGGAGATGAAGGATGATGAATGTTGCTGCGTCAAGAAGATGTACGACGGCCTTATTGAGTGGAGCAATGTGTGTGTTGATGGTTCGCAACGGGCCTTGGGGGATTCATTGAGGTGTGTCTGCTGCTGTCGCTGATGTGATCGCTTTGTTCGGTACTTGTGGTGAATGAGAATAGTATCTGGATAATAAAAGCCGAACATGCAGCGAAGCGGAGGATCAATCCGGGCAGGTAGATGATTGACGATCATCGCAACGGTCGGGGGAATTACCGGCAAGTGGAGGAGGATGTAACGGTGGCAGCTCGATTTACGCTTTCGCATCCCGCATTGCTTGATGTCATGACCTGCTCACTGCCATTGAGGTCGAAATTAGGATTGATTGATTTTTTCATGTCAGGGTTGTGAATAACTATGCATATGCTTGGTCATGGAGCATGATGAGGAGTAAGACCAGGACTTGGGAAGGTGCAGGACCCAAAGATAGGGAGCGGCGATCTCTCTCTCTTTGCTCTCTCCGCCTCGGCCGGCCAAGGCAGAATGCGGGGAAGGCAAAAAGACCCTCTCCACAATCACCACCACAACAACAACGACGGGCTGCCTCGGTTATTTCACCACCACTGATTTTACTACACTTTGCATACCTCAGTCTTTCTGAATGTTTGCTGTTGGAGCATTGATGTACACAGTCTACGTTTTTCCCCTTAATATGGAACAGGCTTATGGAAACTCTCAGCCACATCAGATAATCACCGTCCACGAGTATGTCCAACCGGTTCCTTGCGAATTGAATCAATCCATCCCAGTTACACAAAAGCCTCGGCTTTCCCGCCGATAAGGAGAAGCTTTCCCCGCAAGGGACCCCCCCCCGGGCCGTATACTTATTGCTCCTTCTCCCCATCTTCCATTTAGCTCATCTTTTAGTTTCTTTTCTCTCTCTCTCTCCATTTCCCCTAACCACTTCCCTTCCCACCAGCGACCACCCCCGAGCGAAACCATAACCATGGTTTTCGGTCCCCCCAAATCGGCCGGCAAATTGTCGCCCATCCCCGACAGCATCTCCCTCGCTGAGTTCATGCTCACCGATCTCCACGGCCGCAATCCTCTCGGCTACTCGCAGAACCCTTTCACTTGTGGAGTCACCAGCAAATCTTATTCATGGCTGGATGTGGTAGATCGCGTCGAGTATCTGGCGCGCTCGCTCTCGAGCCAATTCAACTGGCAGCCCAATGCAGGTAGCGAGTGGGATAAGACCTTGGCGATTTTCAGCGTGAATACCGTACGTCGATCCAACGGATAGAGGTTGGTTAGGGAGCTGACACCGTTTGCTTCTTCTTCTTAGATCGATACATTGACGCTTTCCTGGGCCGTGCATCGACTAGGTGGAGTGGCCAGTCCCGCTAATGCGGCCTACTCGGCCGCTGAGCTCAAATATCAGCTGCAGGACTCCAAGGCCACTGTGCTGTTCACATGTTTGCCATTGTTGAAGACGGCACTGGAAGCCGCCGATGCTGCCGGTCTTCCCAGGGATCGCATCTTCTTGCTCGAGGTGCCCGCACAACTCACCCCGGGAGCCAAGGCTCCAGCCGAGTTCAAGACGGTGGATCATTTGGTAGAAGCAGGGAAGTCGTTGCCAAAAGTTGAAGCTTTAAATTGGGGCCCTGGGGAAGGGGCTCGTCGGACAGCGTTCCTGTGCTATTCCAGTGGCACGTCCGGGTTGCCGGTAGGTGGCTGCGATGGCAGACCTTGTCCCAGAAGCAGAAAATAAAAGGCTAATGGTTGGAGTGGCTTGCAGAAAGGAGTCATGATCTCACATCGCAACGTCATCGCCAACGTACTACAGATCAAAGCATTCGAGCATGATTACCGCGATTCGCGCAAGGATCCCGGAACGCAAAGTGAACCGACCGATGTTGTGATGTGCTTGCTCCCGCAGAGCCATATCTACTCCCTCGTGGTGATGTGCCACGCTGGTCCGTGGAGAGGGGATAATGTGGTGGTGCTGCCCAGATTTGAGCTTGATTCCTTCTTGGCTTGTATTCAGGATTTCAAGATCACTTCGTTGTTTGTGGTGAGTGATGCGCAGATGAGGCCACGAGACTCCGCAAACTGACCGAAGAACTGTATAGGTCCCTCCGATCCTGATCAACATGATTCGCAATGCGCAGACTTGCGCCAAATACGATCTCACTGCCGTCAGATCCGTCTTCACGGGTGCCGCGCCGCTGGGGATGGAGACCGCCGAGGAGTTCCAGAAGCTTTATCCAACGGTGACGATAAGACAAGGATACGGTAAGAGGATGCAGGTGCCAGCATCCGACTCGTCCTAACATCGTACAATAGGTTTGACGGAAACATCGACGGTTGTCACCTCCACGCATCCTTGGGATGTATGGTTCGGCTCCTCCGGCACGATCCTGCCCGGGGTGGAGGCCAAGATAGTAACACCAGAAGGCGAAGAGATTACAAGCTACGATACTCCCGGAGAGCTTGTCGTGCGCAGCCCTAGCGTGGTGTTGGGGTACTTGAACAACAATAAAGCCACCAAGGAAACATTCAAAGACGGCTGGATGTATACGGGCGACGAGGCCGTCATCCGCTTGAGCCCTAAGAAGACCGAGCACGTCTTCATTGTAGACCGCATCAAGGAATTGATCAAAGTCAAAGTAAGTTGCGCGATGCTTTCGACCCTTGCCTATGCTATCATGCACCATGGTCACTGACGTGTCATGTCTGCATAGGGTTTGCAAGTTGCCCCGGCTGAGCTGGAGGCCCATCTTCTCACGCATCCTGCCGTGGCGGATTGTGCTGTGATTGCGATCCCCGACGATTCCGCTGGCGAGGTCCCCAAAGCGATCGTAGTGAAGTCCCCGTCCGCCACGGGCAGTGATGATGAAGTGACTCTGTCGATCAAGAAGTACGTTGAGGAGCACAAGGCCCGGCACAAATGGCTCAAGGGTGGGGTTCGCTTCCTCGATGTCATCCCCAAGAGCCCCAGTGGCAAGATCTTGCGGCGTTTGTTGCGCGACCAAGAGAAGGAGGCCCGCAGACAGGCAGGCTCGAGACTTTGAGCTTCGTGTGCGCTTGGAGCAGCGATTGGTAGCTTTTGCTATATGAAGTTTGCGAGGTAGACATCACTAGATACGTGGTCATGTGTAGATATTTCATTTGGATACATATTTTACAATTGAGCAATTCGCAATTCCCTTTCATAAGGTACAACAGAGCACATAGTCGGAAAGATCTGGCTCCTTCTCCGCCGGCTTAGAAACCATCGGGGCAACTTTCAGTGGATGTTTGCAGTGTTTGGCTGGATCGCGGGGAACAAATGAATTTCTAAGCGGGGTGGTTGACCGGGAGAATTCATGGACCTAAGAAAAAAAATAAGTTGCTCCTACTCACTCACTTCTTGCCTCTTTCCTCCCATTGCAATTTTCTTGATTTCTTTATATCTATATCTTCCTTGACTCTCGCAGAAGAGATTTTACTTTCCTTGTCTCTATCTAAGCTTTGTCCTTGTGTTGCGCACCCTCACACCTTATACCCCCAGCGCATACTATATCATGTCCTCCCAAGAACACCGTGAGGCCGATGACGCCTACATCCAGGCCGACGAGGCCGAGGAAATCTTCCACCGCGATGAAGATCAGCCCATGGAGTCCGACGGCGAAGACGAGGATCAGCCTATGACCTACGAAGAACAAGAAATCACATTGGAGAACGACTCCGCCGCCCACTTCGACAGCCATACCGACTCGGTCTTCTGCATCGCGCAGCACCCCGTCCACAACCAGATCGTCATCACCGGCTCCGGTGACGACAAGGCTTACATCTTCGACTCAACACCGAATGCCGCGCGGCCTCTCCTCCCTCAGAGCTACGAATCCAACCCGCAACCGAAACAAGAGCGCGAGTCTCTGCAGCCGCTGGCGCAGCTGGTCGGCCACACGGATACCGTGAACGCGGTAGCTTTCACCGAGCCCAAGGGCGAGTACGTCGTGACGGCCGGCCTGGACGGGAGATTGCGCGCCTACCGGGACTCCACACCCCAACTCACGGGCGTCGCGTGGGAGCTGGTTGCTGAGACGCAGGAAGTCGAGGAGATCAACTGGGTGGCCGTGTGCCCCAACGTGAACGGCGACGAGGAGAAGAAGAACGTGGTTGCCATCGGTGCCAATGACGGTAGCGCCTGGGTCTTCCGCATCGACCACACCGACGCCGCCCAGCCCATCTCCATCATCCAGACCTTCTTCCAGCACACTGCCTCCTGCACCGCGGGCGCCTGGACCCCCGACGGCAACCTGCTGGGCACCGTCTCCGAGGACGGCAGCTTCTACGTCTACGACGTCTTTGGCGTCGCCGCCGCCGCCGGTGTGGCCTCTGCCGCTGGCACCAGCACCGTCGTCGGCCTGACCCCCGAGGACCAGCGCTTCGCCGTCGACGGCGGCCTGTATTCCATCGCCATCTCCCCCGGTGGTGCCATCGCCGCTGTCGGCGGTGCCGAGGGCCACATCAAGGTCGTCGGGCTCCCCCGTCTGGCGGCTGCGGGTGGTGCTGCCGCCGGCAAGGCCAAGGGCAAGGCGGCCTCGCAGGCGCAGACCGGCGCCTCGGCGGCCGGCACGCTTCTTGCTTCCTTGCAGGCGCAGTCCGACGGCGTTGAGACCCTGTCCTTCTCCTCCCCACCTCTGACTCTCCTCGCGGCCGGGTCCGTCGACGGCTCGATCGCCCTCTTCGACGCCGCGCACCGCTTCGCCGTCCGCCGGCACATCCGGGAGGCCCACGAGGGCGCCGTCGTCAAGGTCGAGTTCCTGCAGAACCGCCCCGGCGTTGGCTCCGCGCCTCTCCGTCCCGGTGCTGCGGTCCCGCAGAGCCAGTCGTGGCTGCTCACGACTGTCGGTATGGACGGCATCGTGAGACGGTGGGACGCCCGTGGTGGTACCGCGGCTGCTGCACACGGTCTGCTGAAGGAGTGGAAGGGTCATTTGGGCCTGATCGAAAACCCCGAGGGCGAGCAGTCTGGCGGTATCATGGCGTTTGTGCAGAGCCAGGATGGTAAGCGGGTGGTTACGGCGGGTGATGATGGCATCTCCTTGGTGTTCGAGGAGTAATTTTTATGTATTCGGTTCCTTTTTACTTCGCATGATATGATTAGACTGGAAAAGTCATGTATAGGCGTGTGCAATGTGTTTGGATCGGGGATGGTTGGGGTTTCTTCTAATTTTATATGAATGATATCTGATGACCAATGCTTGATAAACAATTGGCTGTGCCGAGGGTTCCTTCACTTTAATGACGACAATATCCGTATCAGCTACCTAGTATCTACTTAACATAATCAACAACATTATTTCACAATCAACCCATTGGCCGACAATGAAGATACAAGTACCATATTTTACATATGGCTAAGACAGATGAACAAAAAAAAACGAAATTTGAAACATGATATCTATGTACATAACCTATCTCCCGGCCTCATCCCGCGCAAGCGCCCTTTTCTTCACCACAGAAAGAGCTGCGAGC